TTCTTTTTTACGAAAAGAACTAGTGATAAGAAGGGGCTATTACTGGATTTTATGAAGCCTGAATCCAGCATCTTTTGGACTTGAGTCTCTATTTCTTGCTTATAAAAATGGGGATAGCGATATGATCTTACAGAGATAAGGGGTGTGTTTGGGGATAATGTAATGGAGTGGTCTGTGGGACGGGGAGGAGAAAAAGCGTAGGGGCGGAGAATAGGGTGGAGTATTGGTTGATGAGGGATTGTAGTGGTTGCTCTATGGATGAGGGAAGGGCACTGTCAGTGAGGGGTGGTTGAGGCTCGATGGTGTGTGTGGTGAAGGAAGGCACAAGTGGGGAATAGTTAGATTCTAGAGTTAACTGAAAAGGGGCTTTAACTCTATTAATATGGTGCAAGCGATGAAGTTGGTGGGTTGATATTAAAGAAGGGTCTGGGCCAGGATCTCTTTTCAGTTCAATTAGCTTCTCATGCCACAAAAATCTCATGAAAGGCCCATTGTAGTCCATGACAAAGGGGCTGACCATGGAGAGCTAGTAGACCCCTAAAACTACATCAGTCCCAAATAAATCTAAGGGGTACAAATCAACGGAGAATTCTTGTTGATCCAAGATGAGAGTAACCTAGGGGCAGAAAGAAGAACAAGGTAAGAATTCATCATTACCTACCATCACACGTAGTGGGCTTGGTGTGGGCTGGGAAGGTAAGTGGAGAAATTGGGCCACACGGTTCTAGATGAAGTTGTGGGTTGCCCTACTATCCACTAGGATCTGTACTACATAACCATAGATGAACCCAGTGACCCGAAATGTGCGTGGGGTCCATTGACTCGAGAATGCATGGAGGCTAATGAGTCCAACTTATTGTGGAGCATCTTCAGTGGAGTGAAATCCTCGTGGGAGAGAAAATCAGTATGCTCCTCTGAGTCAAAAGTGGTGAGGAGAAGAAATTGTGGTTTACAGCGATGACCCCTTGTGTATCTTTCATCACATTTGAAGTAGAGATTCTTATCTCTTCGAGTCTGCATCTCAGCCCAAGTGAGGCATTTAATAGGAAGCTTGGTGGGTGGTGTGGGTAAGAGGGGAAGAAGAGGTTTATGAGGGTTGGGTGGGTTTGGGGTGAGTGGTGGGAATGGAAGAGGGGTGTGACCAAAACAGTTGAGAGGTGCAGGGGAGGAGCAGAATTTATCATCGTGGAGTTTTGTAAAGGCGATTGCACGGGGTAAGTCTGGAGGTTAAAGTGCGGTTACCTCACAGCAAAGGTGGGGTTTAAGGCCGAAAAGAAAACAACTGAGATAGAAGCTTTGTGGGTAATCTAATATATGAATGGCCAAGATCTCAAACTTAGAGAGAAAATCCTGGAGACTCTGTGTTTGAGTAAGTTTGCAGAGAGAGGCTATAGGATCATCGAATTTGGAGGGAGCAAATCGCAGCTCCAGGGCTCGTAAAAAGGCATCCCAAGATGTTAAGAGTCCATTGTCCCTCAAGGTAGAAGGAAGAGATCTAGACTTGTTGATTTATTGGTATTTGGTGAAATTCAAAAAATTGGTTGACCTTGAAGATCCAACCGAGGGCATCAGAACTATTAAAGGTTGGGAGGTCAAATTTGAGAGGTCTGATGGGTGTAGAGAGTTGTTGTGTATGTGGTTGGGATTCCAGAATGAAGGTGCAGTTGGCAATGTCATGAAGTGTATTAGGGAGGTTGGCGTGAGAAATGAGGATTTGTTCAAGTTTTATATTGAACTTGGTGAGCTCATCTTGAGGAGAAGGAGACTCAGCCATATGGAGTAGAGGTCAATGAAAGCACCAATGAAAGGTATTGCTGCAGAAAGAAGGAGCAAATAACAGAAAAGGAGAGAATTTTCAGAGAGAAAAGTTATACTTTATATTTTGTTGTCTCCTTTTCATAATAATAGTGTGTTATATATGCACAAATAGCAACCGCCTTACAGGACTAATCATATGCAAATAAAAATAGGAAAATATAAGGAATATTTCAAATCATTCTTTCCTAACCAAATTCTCCTTTTTATGGGAAGTAGGACACGTGACCACATAATCCTTTAGGTGACGTGGCTGATGAATGATTCTTTTGGGACTCTCTTCGTGTGCATCTAGTGAGGTAGGCGATGGAATAGAGTCCTTAATTAGGCTATTGGGCGAATTAAGGATAATGGGCCCTGTAGTCCTAACACACGTCATATGAACTAACTATTCCTAAATTATTTATCATAATTTAATATTATATATTCATGTAAAATTAAAATATGAATTGAATTAAATTGACCGAAACAATAGCGACATCATTCAACTAGTATGAGTATGAATAATTGTAGTTGACCAATATTCACTTGACCAATTGACTTTACCTATTCATTGATTTCTTTCTACATGCTACATGGAATTTATGGTGCATACTCCCTTTACTTAGACTTTTTTTAGTTTAAGAAAAATGAATGAAAAAAAGTGAAAAATATATAAATTTTTAACATTTAATTGAGAAAAAATAAGAAGAAAAAATTGAATAAAAAATATATTAGTAACTTATAATAATAATAAAAAAAAGTTTTATTAATCAATAACTTAAAAGATATTAATTAAAGAATCAATAAATAATAAAATTTTATGAAAAATTATATTGATATGTAAAAAATAATTAGAGTAAATATATTTTATATTTTTAATAATTTTTAACTAATATCTTTAAAGTATTTGCTAGTATTTTTAATAAAAATTAAAGTTGATGTGATATAAATTATTAAATATTTGACAAATTTGTGTTTGTGTGAACACATAAAATATTGTTTACATTTGTTTGTCTTTAATATTAAAATTTTGTTAACCTCAGAGAATAAGTAATTAATAATAATAAAATTTTATTAGAAAAAATATTTATTGTATTTTTATAATTTTAATACAATTATGTATTTTTTTTATTAAAATTTTTTATTTGTAAATCCTTAAATTCAATTCTAAGGATGAAATTAATAAAATCCTTAATATTATTATGTAACTTACAATTTTTAGAACTTAAAATTTAGAAATATTGAGTATATAAATTCAGGATTGGTTTACTATTTAATAATTTTGTCGGCCAGCTAACTGAAATGCATCTTAATAACTTGTTACATTTTCATATGTTATTTTTTTGAAAAATAAATATTTGTATTTATATGTTTATTCACAAAACTTGTATGATAAATAAAAATATTACTTCGATGGAGCTAGTTAAAAATATGTCTTTTTTATATATTTTATTTTAGAGTTGTGAATTTATGCAATGGGTTTGATCTCTCACATTTTAATTTAAATTTTTTAAATTTTGAATATTATTCCTTTTAAATAATTCTTATAATATTTGTGACACCATAGAAAATCAAGCTTTCATTCTGCTTTTAAGCTTTTGACCCACTAAATTCCGACCACAACAAAATTGAAAAATAAGTTAAAAGAAAAACCATGTTTGACATAGTAAGTGATACCATAAACATTACACTGTCATGTTGAAGGTTGAAAATGAGGCTTGGTAAAAGAAGTTTATCAAGTGGTGTTGACTGAAAATTGTTATCATGAACAGTCCTTATCAGATTTTGGTCTTTAATTAGACTTTGATTGTTGCCAATAGAAGGCAATAATTAATAAAATTACAATTATTTTGAGCATATCAATTTTAAATAATAATATAATGTTAGATGAAACAGATTTTTGCTGTACATGTCAATTTTAAGTTTAAACCCAATATTATAAGGTTATAAAAAAGCCCAATACTATAAACTTAAAAATCTGAATTTTTTAACCAATAAATATTAATAATAATCACTTTTATGAATTTACATTATTAAAATTTTATAGAATGTATTGCATAAATATACTGTACAAGTCAAGTGCATGCACTAACAATAATAATACAAATTCTTTTAAAATATAATTAAGTGTATAATAAAAAAACATCATGAATGATAAATTATAAAAATGCAAAATAATTTTTATTGATTTATTCCTAAACCATTATCACATAAACTCTCCTCTTCTAATCACACCCCCTCGTTTGAATAACTTCAAATTCACACTTCTCATATTTAAACAGATGTGAATTGTTAATAACATGTAATTTGGGACTTATTATTTATGTTTTTATGGAATAAACTATTATATATGCAATTAAAGGTTAATAACTCAAAGAAAAAAAGATATTTATATGGAATAAATTTATAATCCTACTTCAAATACTGGAAGTGTTGACAATTAAAAGCCTAAGTTTTAGTATGCATTTTTTTTTTCTTACAAGGATCTATTTTATGATATTAAAAAACACGTAATAAAAATTTATATATATGATTGCTAAAGATAAACAAATAGAAATAATGATCAATCATCCATCTAGGTACGTGGAAGGAGCTCTATGAACCCTGTGAGCATATTATTACATTCATTAATTATCTGTGCTTTACAGAAATGTTAAATGGATGAAAGCTTGTTGGCACACCAGGTTGGAATTTATGAGGAATAATATTATATTTAATCAACGGTGACCTGTGTCATGCATTATTGCATATGATACTGTTTTGTGCATGATATATATCAATGCACAAATTTGAAATGAATATTAGTCATCGTCCTATTTAAAACATTATTAACTGTCATAGGGTTCCTATGCTTTTTGTTTCAGCCTTTTACCATTAATTAACCACATGAATTTACGTAGCAACGGAACATGTGGCAGTTAACCACAAAGAGTACTGTATACGATATTAACATGCCATGTGGCGAACTGAGAATCCCTAATTCATCACTTGTAAGCCACGTATATACCCCGGACCAACTCCAACTACACTATTGTGGTTTCCAATCATCTCAGTGGCTTAACCCATTTTCTTTCTTTATCCAATGCAAACTGAACCATTTGAAAAAGAGATAACACAAAAAGAATAAATCAAATTTATTAGCATTTAATCTAACCAACCAACCAAATTATGAATATGAAGTGTAAAGCACTCGAAAAAGTAGAAAACCAAACCAGTTCAAATGAAAAAAGAAACTAAAAAATGACTGTTTCTAATAGCGATTATGGTAATCTATAATCACTCGCTTTCCAAACGCACCTCTCTCTAATAGTCTAATCCCATCCCTTAATTATCGTTCCCCCTCTCTCTCTTTCTCTGTGTGTAACTCAGCTTTTCGTTCGCCGGAACACTTCTCCGACCGATCAAAATTCCGGCATTCATTCCGGTGATTCCACTCCAACATGATTCTTCACTCTGATCCATAGCTCTCTCAATCACTCTCTCTCACCATTCTCCTTCTTCTTCTCTTTTCGCGTTTTCAGATCCGAATCCCGATGCAAAAATCGGGGGAAGAACAACTACCCGTTCATGGATTAGCGACAGCTCGATGAAAAGTTTTTTCTCATGCGGCTCACGAAACTGCTCGTTTTCCTCTTCCACTACCTCGCTTCCTCCACCTCATACATCTGAATCCAATTCTAGGGTTAGGGTTTGCGCCGAGCGATTCCGTCAAAATGTTCAAGAAAATCATGAAGGGCGGAAAGAAGCCCTCCAAGTCTGACTCTGCCGACCCTCCGCCGGCGGCGTACGCCGGAAACAACCGCAATTCGTCGGCGGCAGGTTCTGCCAATGTCGTCGTTAACCACGCCTCACGCGGTGGAGCCGGGGCCTCGGTGGCGAATTCCGCTGCCGCGATGCCCCCGCCGGTCGGCGCCATGGAACCGTTGCCGCTGTTCCGCGACGTGCCGGTTTCCGAGCGGCAGAACATGTTTCTCCGGAAGTTCCAAATGTGCTGCTACGCTCTGGATTTCTCCGACACGCTGAAGAACGTTAGGGAGAAAGAGATCAAGCGGCAAGCGCTGATGGACCTCGTGGACTTCATCCAATCTGGTTCCGGCAAGATATCGGAGAATTGTCAGGAAGAGATGATTCGAATGATATCCGTCAACATTTTCCGGTGCTTGCCGCCTGCGTCGCACGAGAACACAGGGCAAGAGCCCGCAGATCCTGAAGAAGAGGAGCCGTGCTTGGATCCCGCATGGCCTCATTTGCAGCTGGTATATGAGCTTCTCCTCAGATACGTTGTGTCGTCTGATACTGATACCAAGGTTGCAAAACGGTATATTGATCACTCCTTTGTGCTCAAGTTGCTTGATTTGTTTGACACTGAGGACCCTCGAGAGCGTGAGTATTTGAAAACCATACTGCATCGTATATATGGCAAGTTCATGGTTCATAGGCCCTTCATTAGAAAGGCTATTAACAACATTTTTTACCGGTTTATATACGAGACTGAGAGGCACAGTGGTATTGGGGAGCTTCTAGAGATTCTTGGGAGTATCATTAATGGGTTTGCTCTACCCATGAAAGAGGAGCATAAGTTGTTTCTTGTAAGGGCGTTGCTACCACTGCATAAACCTAAGTCTGTTGCTGTGTACCACCAGCAATTGTCTTACTGCATCACTCAGTTCGTGGAGAAGGATTTCAAGCTAGCGGATACGGTTATCAGGGGGTTGTTGAAGTATTGGCCTCTCACCAATTGCCAGAAGGAAGTTCTCTTCCTTGGAGAACTGGAGGAAGTGCTGGAGGCCACGCAGGCTGCGGAATTTCAACGCTGCATGGTTCCCCTTTTCCGACAGATTTCCCGCTGCCTCAATAGCTCTCACTTTCAGGTTTGTGGAAAAATATATATTTTTTATAGTGGTGTTGGTTATAACTAGGGATTATGACTAGCATTCTTCCGTTTCTTATTTCTGGTTTTAAATTTATAATGTTGTTTGTTGAAATGCTACCTTCTATGCTATGGTACATTGTATATCCAATCTTGGTCTATTTTTTAACTTGCCATCCTTCTAGTTGAATGCGGCTGTTTATTTATGGTATATATCAACTGAGGGATAATTTAAGTTTCAGCTGCCTAATTAATGAACTTTAATTGCATTGTTCCTTTTTTGTCTTTTCCTTTTATAGCTCCATACTCTATCATGCTTGAATCCTTCTTTCTGGGGTACAGTTGTAGTATTTATTGTTTGGTTGCTTTTTTTGCCATGCATCTAGTACTGATTTACTGTTAGATGGGGAAAAATGGAAAGCTTTAATATTAGAAAAATGTTAATATAAAACCTTAAGACTGATTTTAAGCATCCAAAAGTAGTACGATTTTATGGGAAAAGCAATTTTTTCATTAAAATTACAAAGTGTAATAATTAATTTATTTTCCTACAAAAGCTTACTAGTATTGGATGCTTAAAATCAGCCTAGGACTGATGATAACAAAACCATCCTTATCGTCATTAACTATTAATGTGAGAAGATGGTTTATGTTCCTATCTGACTTAATTGGTTTCTGGCCTTTCACACAGAAATGCAAACATAAATACATCCATGCATATGCTTTTTGCATGTAGAGGGATTTTGAATTCATTATTGTTCTTTGTCTGCTTTGGAGCTGAGTACTGAAATGGCAAAGTTAACCAAAATAAAAATCAACTGGTGGCTCCTAGTTACTTATTAATTATGAAATTGTATGTGTGATTTATATTTTTAAATAGTAAAAAAAAGAAAAACTGGCATAAAATAAAGATCATATGGGTAACAGCTTATGTTTGGGGTTGTAATATTAATTTTCTATTTAATAACAGTAATAGGAGAGATTGTGATTTTCCCTACAAAGTATTTAAGAATGTCCAAATTTTTATTATTATTATTACCATTATTTATTTATGTCATGGCATGCATATGATGATATTTTAAGAGCTGCAACATAGTTGGAACGAAATCTTGAGATTGCTGCTGTGGAGAATATGGTTTTTAGGGTCAACTTTTTCTAGTCCCCTTGCTTTATTTTGGTCAAATGTCCCCTTCTTGATGTAAGAAACCAAGCATATTCCCCTCTGATTTAACAAGATTGATTGCAATGTGCCACCTTGCAACAAAATTCAGGGTTATGTTAGATGGAGTGGGAGATGTGTGCAAGTCACATGACCTACATGCTGGTAATAAAAACAAGTTTGAGAGGGCATAAGAGTTGTAATAAACTTGTTTTCTAGAAGCCTTCCTCAGATTCCTTAGTACATCATGGTTATGGTGGACCTTTGGTTTTTTCTCAATAGAAGAGAGATGGGTATTTCAACTAGACACAGCATGTTCTCATAGGCTGCCTGCATCATTTCATCTAGCATCTTTCTTCATTAAAACCAAGAAAGAAAATTGCTCTTTTATGAGGATACCCAAACAAGTAAACATGTGCCTTCCAATTTTCAGAAATGCCATGTGTTTTGATCTTGCTTTTAATATATTAGAATCAAATGATTGTTGATATGGCACATTATGTTCATAGAGATTAGAGAGCCAATATTATTTCATTTTGCCAGCTTCCTTTTCAATTTTTATTGTTCAATTGGTGGTTGCATGGTCATTTTCCTCAACCTGCCTTGATATCAGAGTTTATTTATGCATCTTTACTGGGTTGCACAGAAAGTGTCTCAGGTCCAGTTTAAGATTTCTACTTAATCATGTGTGTGGCTGAATTTCTCTTAACCTTAGCCTTGAACAATTCTCTTCAGAGAGAAAATTCATTGATATCAATTATGATGCTTGTCTCTGTATCGATTCTTTTCATAGAGAATTCTTTTTTAACCTCATATTTTAATTTGTGGGCATCTTATATTAAGTTATGATGAAATCTTATGACCACTACAGTATTAAATTCTAATAGGAATTTGTTTCTGACTTTTTGTTTCCTTCTCTGGAATTGAACTTAGTCTCTGGTGGTTGTTGCTTAGTCTTGACTCTTGAGTGTAGTGCATATTTCTGAAAGATGGAACCCAGTTTCTTGCACTTTTCTGACTGTTGAAACCCCCTGTTTGAGCCTGCTTTGTGGAATCTACCTGAGCAAAGAAAATGACTGTTTCTAAGACTGACAATCTTGCAGGGCACTGTCATAACAAAAATGTTCCTGATGCTTTTATATCAAAGAGGGAAAGAAATATAGCACCACGTTAATAACAAAAGCTATAAGGCAATGAAACATACTGGAGAACCAATGATTTATATTGCAGGGAGTTGAACTTGAAACCCATCTGGAACTTCTTGAGTTTGACAATAGAACTTCAAGCTCAGGAAGAAATGAAAATTTAAAACTTGGAGCAAAACAATTTAAAATCTGGTTCCTACAGAAATTATTTGGAGTTTTTTAATTTCAGCTGTGGAACATTTTTGACATGCAGAAAAATGTCATACCGGATAATTTATTATTGTTTGTAGCTTGTTAGTCATGTCACTTATATGCAACTGCCAAAATGGAAAACTTAACCTTCATTTGCATGCTGGGGTCAACCACCTTCAATAGCCAGAGAGCAGCACCCGCATGAGTGAAAATTGTTTCTATAGTTTTATTTGTATCCACAGTATAAATATATTAAATATTTATACTCTTTGTACCCCTGAACAAGTATTGCTTGCTCTTCTCCTGGTTGGATGATGGGTGGCACATTGCAAATGGTCCTCAATTCAGCACAAATTAAGTGTCAATACTCTATTTGTTTGGTTGTTAAATCATGAGGGTGTTGCAGCTGTTTCAATAAATCGAGGAGCAAAGAGCAATGCTTGTTTCTATCTTATTGCTTTCTAGTAACATTATGGTGAAAGTGAAACTATTTTCTATTGATTTCTGATAAGCCTTTGCATCCCTTTCAAATTCCTAACTGTTGGCAAAAAGCTCCTTTCATCCAAAACTGCCCCAAATTTTCAAAATTTCAATTTTGCAGTCTGCCAAGCCCCAGCTCATCTAATCCCATGTTTTTCTTACTTTCACTTTAGTGAATGGAAGTTTAAGCAGATTAATAACAGGGGTGGGGCTTATTTGCTATTGTTGGGTTCAAGAGTGTGGTTTACATTTTATTCCCTTTTTTATGCTACACTCCACTCCCATGATAGATGCTTATTTCACACTGCCTCAACCCTCTGTCTTAAGAAATTACCCTCAAATGAGGAATTGATGTGTTACCTTGTAGTCCATTTGAATGTGGATGGGCTTATTAGGGACAATTTTTATCTCTGACTCTCAGCATCATTTACAGCTTGTTTTGAACCCTTAGTATTGACTTTGGTACCTTAGAAGATGAATTGAAGATTTTGGGCAAAGCTCCAAAACTACTGGTTGGGTGTTTAAAACATTTTGTTCTCTAAAGGCTTAAATCGATCATAAGGTGTTTGAAATTAGTTATTGGAGATCAAAAGTTGGAGAAAGACTAAGATTGATCTTTAGGAGGTTCATTTATAGTTGCTCACAATGCTATGAGGTTTTGTTAATAATTAATTGGACTAATTGTGCATTTCATCTCTCATAGGAGAAAAGTATGTGTAAGGGTGTGGTGTGTGTGGGGTAGGAGGGGATAATTTATCTTTCAATAGATTAAGCAAGGTTGATAAACTTAAGAGTTTGAGTAAACTAGCGGAGTGCTTGTTAAAAAAATCAAAATAATAAAGCAAAACATAACAATGTTAAAAACACACAAATACAGGTAAGTTTGGAGGTCGAACCTGTTTATTTTTTTTGCAAAAATTTGCTGCTGCAGGAAGCTCTATGTTCACACAAACCAGTTGAAGCTTGAAGGTTCTGATCGCAGTTTGCAGAACGTCACCGTTGCTGCTGGTTGAGGTTCTACTTGCAGTTTGCTTTGTTCACAAAATTTGCTGCTGCAGGAAGCTCTATGTTTGCACAAACCAATTGAAGCTTGGAGGTTCTGCTTGCAGTTTGCGGAGCGTCAGTGCTGCCGTTGCTCAAAGTTCTGCTCATTGTGCAACGCTGCCAGCGCTGAAGGAGATGGGAACTGTTTGTTTGTTGCAATGGAGGGTTGGACTCGAGGGAGCTGTGGGTTGTTTCAATCTGCACGCTAAAAGGGTAATCCTAACAACAGGGTTCAAACGCTGCGTTTCAGCAAAATATGGCCCTTTACACTTACTTGGAAATTCAGTAGTTAGAGTCACGAGTTCAGCCAAAAACGAGTTTAGTGTCCATCCAACTCGTTTTTGCTTCCCGAGGTCGTAAACTCGTATGATATTATGTGTTAACACACGATGTTAACAACCATGCGACTGAGTGTAGGTCACCATAAAATTATTTAGGTTTTTATAATTTTATTCATAATGTCTGCCATAATGCATTGATTCATTCTTTAGCTTGAAACAATTGTTCTATTCCCTTAGTCAGTTGTAGAATCAGTTGGATGTTTTCACATGCAAGAGCTTATTGCTCTTTAAGAGCTGTTGATGCAGAATTTTCTGTTGAAAATATTCTGGAAGTTTGCTCTAATACCATACTAAAGCTTGTGCAAACTTTTTTTAGCTCGCATGGTTGGCTGAACATTTATTCTTCCAAGACCTTATAAACGAAGAAAATGAAAGCATAAAGCAAAAATTCAAAATCCTGAGCCAAAAAGAGAAGCTCGTCAACTGATCAAAACTCAATCATCTATCTACATGTCCAGCAAGCACACGAACCCCTCTTAAATACCCTTTAGTTGAGCACCAAAATAAGTCTAAGAATATGATCTTTATAAATAATGTAGGATTCAAGACTTCTGCAGCTTCTTTATTATTATTATTATTATTATTATTATTATTGTTATATCTGAATGCCTTTTTGTGATTTACCTGTGGCAAATTTACAAGGTTGAGAATCTTGAGCAGTCAGAACTAGGAACTGAACTTTGTCCAAATGTAGCTGTTTTTATTTTTCACGATTTAAAACTTTTGTCAAAAGTCTTTTCTTATGCACACTTGTTATGCAGGTTGCAGAGCGAGCCCTCTTTTTGTGGAATAATGAGCATATTGTGAGTTTAATTGCCCAAAACAGGACTGTGATATTGCCGATAATATTTGAAGCGTTTGAGAAAAATATCTCTAGTCATTGGAACCAGGCAGTTCACGGACTGACTGTGAATGTTCGCAAAATGTTCGTGGAAATGGATGCAGAATTGTTTGAAGAGTGTCAGAGGCAGCATGCTGAGAAATTGGCTAAAGCCAAAGAAGAGGCAGAGCAGCGAGAACTTAAATGGAAGAGATTGGCGGATGCCGCAGCACAGAATGGGGTGGAGGATATGGTCACAACTTAGCCTAGTAGTTTTCTGCCACAACTGGAAGTGTGAATTAAATAGGTGAAGGATGATGAATGTGCTCCTCTTCTCCATTTTGGTGCCATTATTTATTGGTTTCTTTCCAGCCTAATTTTTTCTCTCTCTTCTATCTTCTTATTATATCAGTTGGATAATTAGCAATTTGAAGAAAGCAGTGATTAATGTAACTTATTGGAAATTGTTAGTTATATCTTTCAGATTAAGAATGTTTTGTGAAATACTTTCTTGTATTTTTCCCCTTTTACAAAGAGAAATACGGAAGATTTCTTTTCTTTTTTCCCTTTGGTTCCTTCTTAAGCAAATTCGCCCCTTTTTTTGTACTGGATTCGGACATCATGATTGAAGGCATTGTGCAGTTAAACCTTCAAAACCAGTTCATTTATAATGGGACTGGGCTATATTTCATCTGAGGAAATTGACTGTTTAATAAGGAAATTGTCATCAACTGGTATCCGAGTAAGAAAAAGTGGGAATTGAACGATAATATTTTCTTTTAGTTGTTAATGTAATCAGCACTCTCTATGAATTAGTTCAGCATATGTTTACAAGATACGAATGCTGGACAATGCCTTTTTTGCTTTTCACTTTATCTGGGTATTATGTTTCTGGAAACACAACCTTGCTTCTTGCATAACGTGTAAGATTGACCAGATTTAGACCATTGTCAGCTTCAATTGAAGGAAGTTGGTAATAAAGAAGAAAATACATTTTCCGTTCAAGATCTTTGGTGTGAATTGCTTTCACTCAAACCAACTAACCAGTGCACCTCGATGCATTTCCCTTGAGCTCCTGAAACATAACAAAAACTTCACAGCTCAGCATAGTTAATATATAATCACGCGTACACATAAAATTCTCCTTTAATATGTCTTTTATATAATATTATCTCCAGTCTTATTTAATATTTAATTCATTAAGATTAATAAAAAGTTGTTACGTGTAATAAATTTACACTCTATTCTAAAACTCACATGATATTGTTCTCTAATTAAAATTTGACTTTTATTTTATTAATATGTGTCAACTTTTTATGTCGATGTGCTGAATTTTAATGTTAATTAAAGAACAACATCAACAATATCTATGTTTCTGTAATTAACTTTTGTTATTCAGAATATTAAATGATTAAATTTGTGTTATATATATTTTATTAATACACATTTTATAATAGATAATGATATAAAAAAATTTAACAATTAATTTATTTAAAATAAAAATATTGTTGATTATTTTTTATAAATAGGAGGAGGTATTATATAATGTACACAAACATAATCAATCCTCCATAAGCATGCAGATCTCTGGGCTTAAGGCCGAGTTGGGTTGTTATTGCTGGTCCATGGTGACCACTGGGCCGGAGGATAGATAATTAGATATATCACTGTACAAGAGATTGTATTTGCACCATTTTTTTTTTTTATATTTGTACTACTCTTTTTATTTTGGAAATTTAATTTTTAAAATGATATTAATTATATTTTAAAAATTAAAATATACTTAAAATTTTTTAGAATTTTTTTTAAAATAATTTAAAAACATATTAAATTCAAAATAATTTTTTAAAAAAAGGGGCGGTTCACAACTATCAAAATCAAATGATGCAAAAAGTAGTGTTTCGTCATATAGATTTGAAGCACTTATGCCTTAATAGACATCATGACATTGTGTCTAACACAGAAATGTTATTACTTAAGGAATCTATGTGGTGCTTGCCATTGTCTAAAAAGATCTTGACGAATGAAACTGTGATCTCATAGGAAGCACTTATTTGCTGCTTTTTTTTTCCTTTAACTGTAATTCCAATTAGAGACTTTAATGCAACCAGCATTTGCAAAATTTTATCAGTTTGACGATTGAGGAAGTCAACTAAATCAGAACATGTATTTTGAAACCAAGAAAAAAAATTAAAATTTTTATATATGATTATTTTCAGACTGAATTAACTTTTTACAAATTTTATATTTGTTTGTTTTAGTTATTGCAGGAAAGTTCACACTTGAAAGTGGCTATGGACACCGAAAGTTCTAACCACTTAAGCACTAACTTGTTCTTCATCATATTTTATATATTTTAGGGGTATTTAAGTATTCATTCATACTATTTTAAATTGCTAGACCAATAAAAAAAAATGAAAACTGAATACATTGCTAACTGAAAAAACTAAAAATTAAATAAATTGAATTTTAGTATGTAATTACTTTAATGTTTAATTTTTATGTTCAAAATCAAACCAAATTCAATAGCAAATATACTAAAGTTATATAAATCTTCAAATTCATCCTTACATAAATATTAACTTAAAATAAATTTTATTTAAATATGTTTATATTTAAAATTTTAAAATCATTTTAACTTATGATTTATGATTTAGAATAAGTTGTAACTTATGTAAGATTTTTATTGCAATATTTTGCACATTTATTATGTATTTGTCTAATTTTAACATAAATATTGTCTCTTTATTAAAAACAATTAATCATTAAAAAACTATATATTGAAATTTTATTTGTACTCTAACTGATAAAATTTAAATTATTTATTAATTCACAAATTAAAATATTTAAGTTCAAGAACATCATGTTATCTTTAACTTTAGACAAAAAAAAAAGAGTATTATCTTTTAAAAATAATAAAAAATTTAACTTAAATTAAAAAAATATAATTTAGATTAGTTGATTTTTATATTATTATCAAACTAGTCTATACCAAACTATATGTTTAACGTTACATGTTAAGAAATAATAATTTTTTATTAAAAATTATAATATTTAATATTATCAATAAATTAATTTTATAATATTTTATTATTTTTAGTAAAATTATTTTATATATAAATTTTAATTTTGTGTACTTAAACCCATGTAAAAAAATGAAAAATCAATGCCGCAATCAAACACCCCTAAGGTAATTAAGGATCCAGTTTCTACAAAAAAAAAAAAAAAAAAAAAAGGGTAAAAGGGACATAATTTGAACCATAGTCCATTTTCAAAACTCCAACTGGTCATGTCATTCTAAATGGGAAGACCACTATGATCTGTTGGATAAAAGAAAAGCAATTCAAGGGAATGTAAAATACCTGCAGCACTTATGCCAGAATTCCTTGTTCAAATTTATAAGTTGCAGGACTGCATTTTCTTTTAGGGTTATGCTGTTTATACAATTTATTTACAATATTTTTATCATTCTTTTTCCTTTTAATTTTTAATCACATTATTTATCTTATGTTACATTTCTCTTTTTATTTCTTTCTTAATTAGTGAGTTTCTACTTTCTTCTGCACGGTATAGAAGTTATTGAATTAAAAATTTTCAATCAAAACGTTAAAGATATATTATATAATTAGTTAAAAAATTTATTAAATTTAAAATTATAATTTTTTTCATTATTAATAATAAATATTTTATTATATCAAACAAGGTTAAAACAAAGAGATAATTTTAAAAAATTATGGATAATTCAAATTTGAATTAAATTAAAAAAAAAACTCAACATAAGGAAAATTTATGTGGTGTAATAAAAAAAATTTAATAATTCTTTCTCAAAATGTTATTGGTCAAAGATAATTTTTAAAAATACTCTTAAGAATAAAGGCTCATAATATATATAAGTAAATTGTTAAGAGAGAGAGAGAGAATGATTAGGAATAATTTCATTTTTCTGCATTCATGCTAACTGGATAAGAAGATTCCATATCATGGGTGCAGTTTGCTTGTACAGGGTATTAGAAAAACATTGAATAGTCTTCATTGTTGCTCTGATCACCTGAGGAGTGTAAGCCAAGGATAAATGTCTTTCAGAGGAGCAACGCTCTCACTTTATGATTGTTTTGTGTTCAATTCCTTCTGTAATCATTTGCTTCCTTAAAAAGTTCTAAGATTTCAGTACTAGTTTAATAGATAGTTTATCTTGTTCAAGCTTCTTCAAGTAGGATAAGTTGGATGTGTTCCTTATTGTTCTGTTTAATTAGTTATACGAAATAAATAGCAAAGTTGGACAATTAGGTCAAAAAGGATTGATACTAAATCACAAGAAAAAAAAAGTAGGAGAACAGAAAGGCTTGGTATGTCACTTAATATTTTTAGTCTATCTTCTAAGAATATTTTCCTTCCATTACAATCATGTTTATATATATATATATATATGATTATTTGTCTTTAATTTAATTTTTATATAAGAATTGAAAAAACTGTTTAGTAAAAGTGGTAAAGGAATAAATATTATAAGGGTATCCAAAATTTACTTGAGATCAATAAGAGTCCACTTTTTGCTCATGAGCAAAATTGAACCTTCAAACCCGTTTAATTTACCTGGAGAAAAGCTAGAAAGATATTAATGGATTTACCCAATGTTGGTTTCCTCCACACCATACAAATCCCTATCCCTTATCTTTTAATCTTCAAACGTGTAATTAATATAATGAATGATTAAATCCATTATTTTCTTTTCTTTTCATGTTTTATTTTTTTTTATATATTAAACATCCATATCTTGTTTCAAACACTAAGCAAGGACAAAAAAAATATCATATCCATGACCATAATCAATATATCTGACCAGCTGTTGTTGCTGAAGTAGAAGCTAGTTATGGACCATGTCTATACAAATGGCCAGAATTGCTGATGCCAAGAATAGTGCTCATAGAAATGCATCTAATGTTAGAGGAATGAATGACCTAATTATATAGTATAGTTTGATACATTGCATAATTTAATTGTTAAGCTAATAGTTGGTGGAGTTCCCACACACATTCAGCAATATTATCCACTCTTATGCCCTGTGAGATTTTCTGCCTATCCTCTCTTTTTCGCATTTCCAACTTCAATTTTATGATTAGTCAGATGTCAAATTGTCATCTCCAGCACTTTGTATGTGTGTATATATATTTGTGTGGCATTGAGAGTATAGTGGCATATAAATATCAAGAAGCCATGCAAGGAGAAGATTTGCGTAAAGGGACTTGGCTCCAAGAGGAAGATGAACAATTAACCAGCTTTGTGACCCGTCTTGGGGAACGAAGGTGGGACTCCCTTGCCAAAGTAGCTGGTATGTATGAAGAATTATGTTTATTATGACATAGAATGAATAAGGAATGGAATGCCCAATTTGATGTTGATGATGAATATTGTGCTAAAATATCTCATGTTAACTAAGAATATAATCAAAATATCTTTTATAATTAAGAAGGTGTGTTTGGTTTTTCTTTCGAAAATTTTAAATGCACGTCACTTTAACGCTATTTAGAGTAACTTTTGCATAAAAAAAACGGGAATATAATTACAATTATCGTTGTTCCAAGCATGCATTTAGACAATCTTTCTTCACTGAGTTAATTTTTGAAAGTGAATTAGATTGAGTTCGTTTATAATATTTTGTGTGCATGCATAGTGAAAAGTGGTAAAACTTGATTATTTTTTTTGTGTAGGCCTTAGGAGAAGTGGTAAAAGTTGCAGGTTAAGGTGGATGAATTATCTTCGTCCAAATCTCAAGCATGGCCATTTTAGTGATGAAGAAGAGCAGCTTATTTTTCAGCTTCAACAGCAATGGGGTAACAAGTGAGATTCTTCTCTTGCTTGAGGGTCAAAAAATAAGTGTAGTATGTTTAACAATGCCACACTTACTAGTTTAGCAACTAATTGGTAGTGTTGCTCCATAACCTAAACTTGCCAATTTTGTAATTTTCTAGTACAATGAATGTAGGTGGTCCAAGATTGCTCGTAGACTCCCGGGAAGAACTGACAATGAAATCAAGAATTACTGGAGGACTCATTTAAAAAAAAGACCACGAGTTCAACAAGAAGGTACAGATGAATATGTACTGTGCTATTATTTATATAAATGTTTACTTATTTATAGATATTATTTAGGTTTAAATATGTTCTTTTTTTTTACATTTTAATGATTTTTTTTTATTTTAGTTCTTTTAAATAAATTTTGTTTGTTTTATAGTCTCTACATTTTTATAAATTATTACTTTTAATCTATTTTATTGGCATGCTCTAACCAAAAGTTGACACTTAACACTAAATTAATAGAAAGAATTAAAAATAAAAATTTATAAAAAATATTGTTTGAAAAAACTAAAATAAAAATTGTTAAAATATGAAGATAAACATATTTAAACCTATTATTTATTGTAGAACATTGTAGCACTAATTTGTTTTTTAGTTAAAAAATTAATTCTTACACTTTTCAATATAAAATACACATTCGAATAAAAAATTATATAGTGCAAATTATTTCATACATGCATTTCAGTTATATTTAATGGTTTAAAATAAATTTAATAAAAATTAATTTTACTAAAATTTAATCTAAATCGACACATGATTTTATCTATGTGGTCGTCGCTGCCTAATGGAAAAATGCTTGGCCACTTGGATATTTTTGTTGCACTTGTGAAATGATTGTACTCGTTATTCAAATTCACTTACACTAGTTTGATTCTCAGGAGAGTGCAAGTATAAATCAGAAAATGCAGCACAAGATTTCAACCAGAAAAGCATTGATTTGGCTTCCAAGGATTACAACCATGAAATTTTTTGCCTTCAAGAAAGTGAGTGGGAGACTAACGATAGCTCCACAGACACATTTCCTTTATCAGATTGGGAATTGAGAAGCTCACCCTATGAAACTAGGATATTAGATTGGATGGCAAAATTGCAAGATGGATATGGTGAGAAAGAATTAGAACAAGATTGTAATAGCATAGTTACGTTCAACTATAATAATAATCCTCAAGAATTTGTAGAGGGCTGTGATACATGGAATTATTCAGGTTCCTTGTGGGATATGAACTAACGTGAGATTGTTTCTTCATATTGTAAATGTTAATAATTTTGTGAATTAATTTGTAGACTTGCTTTATTCCCCGTGAGTAGAGATTTTCCATTCTGAATTAATATATCAGTGGCTTAGAATGGTCTAGCCATATAAAATTTGAGAAACTTACACACACATATATAAAGCAGAGAGCATTAAAAAAAAAACACAGGAACTTCGTGACAAGTTCAAGTAATATCTCACTTGAAGTTTATGTGATGTTGAAGCCAAGAAGAATAATTCCATGGGCATTGACCTAATGGAATTGGTCGACATCAGTGTTAAAACAAAATTATGTCAATGAAGTGGTGATAGCATTGTTGTCAGCTTTCTGAACATGAAGACCATATATTGATTCATGTAATCCACTAGCACTATGCACAGATTTTTCAAGCCCACGAAGGATAGAGCACATCGATTCCGTGACCCAAAATATCAAACCTACAAATTCAATTGAAAGGTGTTAACTTTGTTGGAGATTTAGATGCTAGACAAGAGTTAATGGAGTTTCTGATGTGGCCAACGCCGATGATGATGGAAAAGCACAACTCTGAGACACAAAGAAAACGCACCGGGTCAACCAATTCAGCTGAATGATTTCCATTTTATAAAGTTAATTTGAAAGTGCGATTTAGAAATTAAAATACAGAACAATAAGTATTAATTAAAAACAAGTGCTGAAATTATCATAAATATTCACTGAATAAGAAAAAGCAGTTTTTTCTAGTTTTTTTATGAGCTCTCTTTTATTTATTTTTTGTTCCGTTTTGTAATGTGCATTGAATTGAATGAGTCTCAGAACTATCCTAGGCACAACTTAAATCTAAAATTAAAATACCACGATTGTTCTTTCCATTTTTATTGGGACATTTTTGTTTTAATAATCAGGAAGATATGGAAAAAGCGTATATGGTACCATATAAAACACGAAGATCACGACCACCATCGGCCACAGTGTTGGTCAAAAGGAAAAGAAAACAATATCTGTTCGTCAAAGTAGAACATAGATCTCGACCTACATGCATGCATCCAACGGACCACAAGTAGGCATCACGTTTTTTAATACCAAGATTATCTGTGTTACTTTGTCTCCTTTCTAATAAACTATAGACAATTGACCAAAAAATTAGTAATAAAATATACACAAAGTTTAAGATTAAACCCTACCCGACATTTACATCATCTTTCTATCTAATCCAGAAAGTACCACAAAGTTTACAACTCACAAGTTTAAATGGGCAAGAACTAGATACGAACTCTATATCTATCTATCTATCAATTCAAATATCCTTTAATTAAGATACATTTAATTGTTGTCCATTAGTGAATGGACTTCTTAAAGCAAATGCAAAATGAAAAAAATATATATATTAATGAAGATAAGAGTAGCAATGACATCCACACGCATTTAGATAGAATAATGAAATAATTGCTTTCATATTCACATTTTAAAATATCTTTCATATTTATATTTGTGCGATTAACATTTTTAATATTTATTCTTGGGGGATTCCTTTTTACACCTCCCATTTTTTCTTTTCGCACCCCGTTAACATTGTTTGCAAAATTTTGTTCCAAAAATACCTTCTTTTTTTCCCACTCCACCATCTTCCTACCTCCTACAAAAATTTCCACACTCATCTTTGTCTCTTTCACTCCCTCTTTCGCTTCCCCAAAATGGAGTACTGGTTTGTTGATTATACAATATTATGTACATAAATGTTTAGAATAACTAAAATAATTGCATTCTCTAAAATTCATAAAAAAAATACATCAATAATATATATATATATACACACACACATATTTCGTAATAATCTTTCAATTATTATTATTATTTAGTATTGATAACATAGAAATATTAGTATTTTTTATTTAATAATTATGAAAATTTACATATTAAAAAAGAAATAATTTAGAATTATTCACTCTTTATTTGTGCTCCAGTCAAGAAGCCGTTGTCTAGTTATTTCATCATCGTGTGTTCTACCTTTCAAAATTTAAACTTGAGCTGCAATATTCAATTAAGTTAGGCGTAAAAAAAATAAATAATTAGATAATAGTTACTATCATGAAGGTAGCCTGTGTTTTTAATTTATTTTTATCTTCCCTTTGTGATTGCTGCTGTGCTAGAAGATTGACATATTTACAATTTTCTTGTTAAAATTTTCGTGGGACAGATAATGACTAAGCAACAGAAAGATAAGAGAGGAAAATAGGGATGGGAGAATTGATAATAATAGTCTCGAATAATGGATGCTCTGTTCTGAAGGAGCTCATGATTTCATTCCAATAGAGTCAAGAAACAGCATCACATTGAAGAGATTCCTCGTCTGTCATAGAACTAATGTTAAGGTTGTCGTACGAGATAACAAGCACGACAATGCAACGAAAACAGATAGAATAATCAAGTTAGGTGAAGGTGGGAACACCATTGTGCTCCGGGACATATCGTCAGTGTATTCTGGGCCGATATCTGAAATATAAGTGCCACCATCGTTGGGTCCTCTAGTCCACATTCCGAGATTATTGTCCCTGCTCATTCATCATATTTTATGAAAATCAAATAGACAAATTCACAAGAATATTTATATTTATTGACTATATAGTAATTTAATATAATACCTGGCAACGCCGAGAACACCAGCGGACATGGTGAGGAGGGAAATGCGATCTGCAGACTTAGGTTCAACGCTGTAAGCCTTTTGATACTTAGCCTCAGCGCCTTGGCCAGAAGCCACAAAGAATGCTCCATTGAGCATAACATCTCCTTCGGACCGCCAATTCCAGCCACTCCAATCCCCTTCGCCAGAGTCCAACCTCTTGGTCACTTCCTTGGCGTAACCATCCTCAGGCGCAGTGTAGCGGTTCCCTTGGCTGTTAATCGTGGGTGCCCCACTCCCCCCAATGGCATACATCTCCCAGCGCGTGAAGTCGTTGTTGACCACGTGGATGTATCCCAGCCTGCAACGTGGCATCCTCTGCACCAGCTGCTCCCCGAAGTGGTTGAAGGCTATCGTCACCTGCATCCCGGAGTCTGGCAAGTAGTGGTCGCTGTGCCCCAGTAGCATCACTTCGTTGTGGTGTGAAAAGTGGTTGTTTGAGATCGTTATCCCCGTTGAACCCATCACTGCGTCTATTAAACCGTCCTTGCAACGCGACAGCGTGCAGTGGTCGATCCATATGTCCTTTGCTCCGAATATCGATATTCCGTCGCCGTCTGATTCTGTTCTGTACCCGTAGTGCTCTGGGCTCGACCGCACGTTAGCGTTACCTTTCAGCGTCAATCAAATTATTATTATTATTATTATTGTCATCGAATCGCAATAATACTGCGGTTTTGTTGGTGAAAAAGGTTAATCATTATTTGCTAAGAGGATACCTTGAATCACTTTGAATGAAAAAGAACATCATTATTTCTCCACTTGAATCTATCTTTATCCTATGTTTAAAGTAAAGAGGTCTGTCTCCTGTTCACAGTCTAAAGATAAAGAAATGCGGTGTGAATAATTACATGGATAACCAGGAGGTTCATATCCATATTTGGGGTTTGGGCAGACGAAGGAAGTGAGACAGGAAAAAGAGAGAGAGAGAGAGAGAGAGACCAGAGATGTAATCGATGAATCAAAAAAGATTTTAGAAAAAAGGGATGACATATAAATATAAAAAATATAATACTTGTAATTAAATTACTAGTGTTAATCTGCATAAGTTATAACACATATATATCTTCAAGAGAATAACAAAACAATGCCCGTCATAAAACAAAAGAGAGAGAGAGCTAAAATAAGAAAATTTTTAATAAATCTTTTTTTCACTAATGACATAACGCTCTCTCCCTCACCATAGTTTGGTTAAATTGGCAAATACATAAGTTCTCTTACGATGTATTTAGATGAAAAAATAAAATAAAAATTTATTAAAATTTTATTTATAATAATCACAGAAAATTTATTTAATAAAAAATTTAAATCTTTTATTATGATATTTTTTCTTAATAAAACAATTACATTTTTACTATTTTTTATACTTATAAAATTATTCAATAAAAAATGAATTATATATATCCCGCCACTCCTTCCCTCCCTTTTTTCCATTTTGGGGTCGTTTCTTTAATGTGTTCCCCAAATAAAAGAAATATTTCCTTTATTTGTTAGTGCAACTTAAATTTAAACAAGAAAATATATAATATTCACTAATTTCTTTCCCCCTCGTAGAATTCCTCAATCCAAACGGACCTAAAAACACAAGTTTTTTTCCATAAAATAATTTGGGGGGAAAAAAAAACTGATTTTGTATTCCTCGCCACGAGCTTTTCAGTCGCTCTCTTTAGTCTAGTTCATTTGCTATACAAAGCTAAAAAAATATAAAAGAAATACACCTTTGTGTTTTTTTAAATGATTGGATTTTCACAAATTATGACTTGAGCATAAACTTATCCCTTCTAACTTTTGTTCAAGAATTAATTTAGAAAATTTCACCACAAACTTTCATGGAAAACCAAAGACACCAATTCCTAAATTTTGTCAATTTTAATACATCCCATACCTTAAAAAAAAGTGTGTGCGTTAGAAAGCAGTTACATTAGTTCCTCTTAACTTTTGCTAACGTTGAAAAGCATTTCACACTCGACAATGACATTTGGAAAAGAAAAAGGTGTTACACTACAAACAATGTCATAACTGAAAAGAAAAAGGTGAAAAAAAAAAAAAGACAATGCTACTTGGCGCAGGAGTAAAACAAAAGTGAAAATAAGGCTAATGAAGGAAGGATTTAACTTACCGGAGGGGTGACAATGGTGGATGTGAATGTTGTGTATGATGACGTTACTTATATACTGCAAAGTAATGCACCCTCCACCCACAATGTGAACATCAGCGCCACGCCCATCAATGGTCTTGTAGCTGTTAAAAATGAGTTCTTGAGAGAGCTTAATCATCATATTACTGGGGAAAACGATCCACAAAGGCTCATTCTGTATAACCGCGTATCTAAGCGTGCCAGGTTTTGGGTTAACAGGGTCATCATCTGAGGAATCAGTAACAATGTAAAATTGACCACCTTTCCCTCCCATTGCGTTCTGGCCGAACCCAATTGCACAATCAGCTAGTCTTTGCCTGTTGTTGGCCCAATCTGGGTCGCATTTCCAGCAATCGTCGATGGGGTTCCCCGTTAGGCACGACCCCACCTCTTTCTCTGACACTGCGAGCATTTCCCTTCTTGTAATTGAGGCATTCACCTTCCTACATAAAAAAAAAAAAAAAAATGCTTTTTTTTATGACCCATGTGCCAAGGTTAACACTTTTCTATCTTGCTTGAAGTAACGTGGGATACTAGCACTTGGCAATGTAAATGGAAAAATAAAAACAAGAAGAATAATGGGGCAAAGAGGTAAGGTACCTGTGAAGTTCTCGGGCAACGGATTCGGGGTCTGGGTGTTGGCCGGGCAGAGTGAGGTTGAGCATTGCTGTTCCATGGGGTAAAAATGAGGCCAGAATAGAGATTAGTATAATGTAGGTTGTTTGGAGCATTGTGAATGAAAGGGGTTGCTCGCTGTAAGGGTTGCTTCTTCTTGCTGCTATCACAAGTACAGGCACTCCGTTCATTCACTCACTCAGCTCAGTCATTGTGGTAGGGTAAAGGGTTGGTAGGCACCGTGGCTGCTCTGAAAGGTTGTTAGTACTTGCTACACTTTGTTTAAGAGCATTAATAAACAGTGAAACTCCGTGATTAAAGGAATTAGAAACCAAAGCCCAAAGGGGTGGAGTGTCACTCTGGGAACAAATGCATACCATTTTACTTTCTTATTTTTGAACATTACACTTGATTCAATTTTACAAATATTATTTTATATATTTATTTAGAAGAAAAAAATTATTCAGTGCTCAGTTTTACTGTGCTACAGTATTTACTTTTGGTTCTGTATTACTTTTGATTAAAAAAAGGGGGAAGGAGTGAGGATGGGCATTGAGCAATGTTACGAGGAAATCACGCTGACCCTGTTATCGAGGAAGTGGTCACAACTCAGAAATTTTGGTTCGTTGTAGAGACTCATTCGGCCCTCGGGAGTGGAATAGTGTTACGGATTAGAGCAGTGGCATTTGGCCCTGCTTTTTAACACAACGGCCGAATAGTACTTGTAATTCTGACACCTTCGATAGTAACGTGGATTAGTGAAGGACCAAGACAAAAGGAATAGTTAATTAAGAACATTCTTCCACTCCATCAACTGTTTTTCACTTTTCAATCAATTTTTTTTTAATGTCTGTTTCTATGTATATAATAAAAATATTTACTCATGCAGGTTGGTTTGCATAAAATTAAACTTAGACAGTGATTTATAGATTCAAATAATTTTAATTTTTTTAACCTGTCCTATATTTTAGTTTTACCCAATTAAATTAATAGCTCCAATCAACTTTTTAAACATTTATAGTTTTAAAAAATTAATGAAATTTGAGTCTATAATCTTTTGAAAATTGATACTTTTAATTTTTGTTAGATTTTAAAATTTTTAATAAATTTTAATTAATATGTAAAAGAATGCTAAAAAAATGTTTATAACACCAAAATATGTATGTTTGCTTATCTTATTATCCTTTAAACTTTCTCTGAACGTAAAGTTGAATGTGGTAAAAAGAGAGAGAGGGAGAGATCATTTATAAAGATGGATCTTAAAATCCGTCCTAAATGGTGTAGAGCTACTTGATTATCTTGTTTATATAATGCACTTCATAATAATATCAAATTAGATTGTATGAAGCTCTTGCATAAAATTTTTATTGAAATGAAAATTGATATCAGCGAAGAGATTAATAAATTCTTAAATACAGTTCTAAATAAGGATGGGACGTAGAAAATTAATATTATTCAACATGGTCCTTGATTATGATTTCTTAAATTTAATTTTGCTAAAACAATGTGTATTTGAATTAGCTAAAAAGTATACTTCTAAATATTTTTTAAAATGTATATTTTAAAATAATTCTAAACTATTTTTAAAAATTAATAAACAAAAAATGTTTTTTTAACATTCTTTACATAATTAACAAAAAATAATTCAATTAAAACACACTCTAATTCATCTGCATATTACAATAGCTAATTCATTTAATAGTATATGGGTAGGGTCGCATACTCACCGTACTTCTGCACCTTTCGAACGTTTTGTTGAAAAGTTGCTGCAGAGCCGCAGACCCGAGTTAAATAGCTTCACCATTCATATATTGTTTTCATAAAATTATTTATCAACGAGTAATGTCATGACCCTACTTAACCACTTAAACAAATTTTTTTTCCCTTCAATAAATTTTTTTTTCTCATTTTAGAAGCTACTTAATAATATTAATGGATACATCTTTAAAATTAAATAAATTTATTAACTATTATGATAAAGTAAATTAATTTTACTAGAATATTATTATTAGAAGATTAAATTATTTCAGTAAATCACATCTAACCTGAGAAAGAGGGAATGGGATTGCAGAATGAGTAGATGAAATATGAATCTTGAGTTCTGAGTTATGTTTCCCAGAACACAATAGGCACATGCTACCACTGCAACAGTGTTCCACTTTTTTGACCATGGTGTTGCCAGGTGGGGTTCCACAACTTTGACCAATGTTGTCACTGATTTCCTCCTTCTTTCCTCTTTGTAATTTAAAGGGTCAACCTGTGTTCAGTAAGCATATCTTTAGACTATGGATGAAATATATAAATAAATTCAAAATAAAGTAGAACAATATTAAATAAGTGAAAATTATAATAAAAAATTAATTTCTGTTTGTGCTGTGTGTGCCCATGTTTTAGGAGGTAGCACATAGGGTGTGGATCTGAATGTCGGGGAGCAAGGTCCAAATACAAAATATGTTATATTTAAAGGTATTTTGGGGGCAAAGGGTTATATGTGGATGGTAAAAAAATGTATACACTCATATATATTTTTTAGTGTAACAGCGAAAATGATTAATATGGGTTATACTATACAAATGTTCAAAATTTAAAATTACTTAAAATTATATAATCAATTTTTAAAATGTATATTTTTTAAAATGTCACATATTTTTATGTATTACTCATGACTATTTATAATAAAATTATATGGTTAAATTTTATTTAAAAAAAGTTTTATTTAATATGTTCTCATAGATAACAATGTATGTAGTAGAATTTGTGTTTTTTCTTTTAAGAAGACTATTCATGTGCTTCTTATAACAAATACATATAATTATCCTTCGAATTTGTCTTGTTTTGAAAAAAAAAAGATATACAATTATCACGTAAGATAAAACTTAAGTGTAATATGATAAATATTATTAGTATTATTTTATAATCAAAATTTTAGTTCGAGCATACGGAAGATTGATATTAAAAGTAAGCTTATTCACATTAAAAGTCAACACGATGAGGTGAAGATTTATTTTTAATTAGAGAAAATATCAACCATATATACCTATATTATACTATATCTAAAATTTATTAACAAATATTTAATATAAGTTTAACAACATCAACTTTCAAGAACTTAGTTATAAGATTAGAAAGATTTAATTAAAAGTACTTAAAAATCAATTTAACTTAATAAAACTTAATTTTTTTATAAACTCTAAATTTTATATTCATCTTAGACTTTTCATTATTTTTACCTTTCTTCTCTTGTCTATTACACCACTCATTATCTTTACTTTTTTTCTTAAAAGGTGTGAAAAAATTTCTCGTAACATTCTATTTTCTTAAAGAATTGTTACATTAATAGTTTTACTGGGAAGAACATGTAGAATGTGTAGAGAATTATATTAATTTTTTTAAAATTTTAAGAGCTTGTATGATGGAAATAATAGGATAAAAAATAACAAAATATGAGAATTAGATAAAGACAATGTATAATAAAAGAATGATAAACTCTTGTCATATTCTATGCTTGATGTACATTATGTCACTATATTTAATAGTTGAGATAAATAAAATATAATATAAAAAAATATAAATAATATTTAAATAACAAAATTATTTTTTACCAAAATTAATATAGTTTGCTATTTAAATTTTCAATAATATATATATATATACATATAACTTTAAAATGTTTTATTGCATATACTATTAAAATATTAATATTAAATTATAAAAAGTTGGAATTATATTTTTATAAAATATTAAAAATGACATAAAGTATAAGTAGGAAGATAAAAAAAAATGATTATATACCAATATTTTTAACTCATAACCTCTCTCAGAACAAGACAAGATAATTACTAAAAATAAAATAAGATAATATAAACTATCTTACTTGTATTCTTATCTTGTCTACTAAATTGATCTAAAATCTATACCGATACCTTAAAGACAGTTATTAATATTTATTTTTCAAAAAATAAATATAAGAAGTTTTGTTAAAACATAAAATATCGTTGGAATTTTATCAGCAATAAGCGTAAATGAAATATATAATTTTACATGTTCTGGATATTGAATGGGCCATTGAGTTAGGCCAACATTGAATGTACCGATAAAGCAGGACCCGAAATTCACTTAAAAAAAGAACCCAACCCAATTTATCAAATATCATTTTAGGCATTGCAATTATGTTCAGGTTGTTTAATCTTTAAATTTATTTAAGTATATCTTTCAACTTTTTGTGTACAATATTTGTAATGACTTAATTAACGCCTTCTACATGTAACTATAATATCGTTAATTATATTGGCATAATTAAATAAAACCACTAAGATGAAATTACAATTAAGAGAATGTTGTGTAAAATATAATAAGAGATTGATAATGTATTTGAAATAAAAGAAAAAACAAAAGATAAAATTTAAAGCTAAAGATTCTGAATTCATAATTTACTACCTTTTTTTTGTATTTTCTAAATTTTTAATTATTAATTTTTAATCAATAAATAAATTCTCTTATTTTGAAGAAATTAAATCCTTATTGATATTAATTGTTTTTTACACAGTTACGAATAAGAAATAAAATATTTGTTGAATTTAGATTCCGGAGATCCAAGTCTCTCGCTCTGCCGTGCTGTTTCGCCTATTCTCTCTCTCTCTTCTTCTCTTAGGGGCTTTTTTCAAAACAATTATATATATAATTATTAACAATGCATATATGGACTTGATCAGAGTATAAAAGATTAATAAACGCTCCTCAATTTTGTAGTACAAACACTCATTTTCTCTTATTAGGACTTTCTACTATACCTATAGACTATAGACTATTGTGCACACAATTTATCTAAGGTGGTGTTTGAAAAGGTGCATGGTGCCCCTTATCCCAAACTTCTCTTGGAATACCATGGTGATTGTTTATATCAGGATCAAAGTCACTGTTCGAGCCGTTCATGTTATCAAAATGCTTCTTCTCATTGCTCGTTTCCTTGATTGGTCTTCCCTTGTTCATACCTTCAATCTTGAACATCATCATCTTCATATTCTTGCCCCATGTCAAGTGGTCTTCCATCGCAACCAGAAGTAGCAACAGCAAAACAAATTTAATCTTTGATTTCATCGTTATGGGAACTTAAATTTACTTTTTGCACTAACGTTGATGCACTTTCAGAAGATTTTATCATCGTGGGTATTTATAGAGTTGGTAAGGCTCACACAAAAATATCTCAAGGGTGGGTTTCCATTCCCAATAACATCGAAGTGATATCGATCTTAACTTGGTTTAGTGGGGGCGATGTTATGTAATTACCACAATCTTGAATCTCTGTTTGATTCACAAATTAAAATGTAACATCTTGCGAATCTAAACCTAGCTAGTATCTTCAGCTTTTCTAGAGCAAGACAATAAAACAAGTGGAGATAATGTCCAACGACAATTAATTATATAATAAACAATTAACAATGGGTATCTTAAAAGTTGATGGAATCATGATACAACTTAAAATCGCAGTGCTGTTTACTTTCTGGTATATTCTACTTGTCCAATTTGCGTGTTATACATCATATAGATTGATGGAATTTACACAGTTCTTCAAGAAGATATTAATGATAATTTGATAATTTCAACACTTGTTAATTTGTTGGGGAGATGTAATCATAAATTTCACACTTCCAACTCTCAAAATTTTTATTCCCCCGATGAATGGCTGTAAATATTTTAATTTGTTTTAAATATTTATTTTAAAAAAACTTGAAATATTGATTCCTTATTAATAATAGTATTTATTAATACCTTACTCAAATATTTACTAAATGGTTTCATAGTTAATAATCATTTTAATTTATTAAATAAATTTATCATAATATATTTTTAAAAATGTCATCTTAAAAGACTGATAATATAAAATAAAAAATATATTTAAGAGAATAAACATATTTTAAGAATATTACTAACTTTATCCATTATTATGAATTTTTTTAATAAAATTATGTTTTTATTAAGAGGTTGAAGTATAAGTTTGAATTAGCTAAATAATTAGATGAATTACTAGTAACAGATAGCTTAATATTAATGTATTGTTAGTGCAAAGAATTTTACACAGTGAACCAATTAAAATTTATCATGGACATAATTTTTAAAATATTTAATATAAAAATCAACAAGTTTTAATGACACAATGCTTAGTGATTAGCTGAAATTATATTTTAATAAAAATATAACTAAAAATAATTGAAGGGTTTAGAAATAATAAATAAGCTAAAATAAATAAAAATTCTTAAATAAATAAACAATTATAAACGAATCAATAACAAATAAATAATTTATCTGCTGAAACAATCAAAATCTCCAGCAAACACGTTTAAAAAGAACACGTAAATAGAGAAAAAAAATTGTACCCCTCCTCCTTTCAGAAAAAAAACTTAATTTGAAAGAACTTTTGATACAGGAAAGTCTTTAAACTATAGATTTTTGTGATTAATATTTTTTAAGTGAAAAAATATTTAAGCTAACTATCACAATTAGAAGTAATTATAAAAAACATTTTCTAAATTTAAAATGTATAAAATAATGTTCATTTATCTAAATTGGCTCTAGATAGAAAATGCCAAAAGGGGCAATGAGGGGTATTGGATGGTTGTTTCCTAGCTGTCTCCCTCGCCTTTCTTTCGTTCATCAAAGGAATGATTTGGAATCACCAAAAGTGAAAAGGGTAAAAAGGCTACAAAGAAATTCATGATTTTAGGTTAGGCTAACTAAAATTATGCTATTTGACTAATTCAAAAATTAGACACGCATTTTAGGGACGAATTCAACTTATATTTTTAAATATTTTAACCTAGTACGTTATTTCGTATTTTTCTAATTTATATTTTTAATAATTGTATATAAAAATTACATTTTAAATTTAATTAATGTTGTTTTACATGGTATGATAAAAAATTATATTTATATTAATATCCTACATTATTTTAGCCGTTAATTTTTTAATTAATAATTATAGCAGTTTTTTCCCTTCAAATTCTACTCACTTATACAAAATTAAAATCGCGGTGAGAGTATTCTATGTTTGGCTATCATTTACCTCAAACATAAGTTTAGTGATCATAAATGTAATTCTGAAAAATAAAAAAGTATATTTAATTTTTTAATTAGAATTAAGTTTCTTTTACAAATAGAATAAAATTTTACTATAAATATATAAAAATAAATACAAGTTATTTTATTTTATTTTATTCATAAGCGAAGTTAATTTAATAAAATTTAAATTATTTAAAATTAAATGTCAAAACTATTTGCTGACTCGAGTTGACGTTAGGGACAGACTGACATGACACGTGTTTCCTGCTTCTGTTTCCACGCAAATACTTAGGAAAGTTAATTAAATTTATTGATTAAAAATTATATAAATCATGTGAGTTTATTTTAAATTTTAATTTAATATTTTTTATAATTATATAATTTTTAACAAAATTTAATTAATAATTAATGTGTAAAAAATGTTTTAAAAATGTGTTATTAATATTTTTATATTTTTTGACAAAAAATTAAAAAACTTTTTTTAGTTCCATTTTTTTTAATTTCTTATTTGCGTCGGGTAGACATTGGACTTTTCATGGATTAATTCTTCCTTCAACAAATAATATGATTATATTCAAATTAGACTGCAGTTTTAACAATATTTTAAACGGTAGCATTTTATATAATTCACCGATGACAAAGTGTTGCGTATAATGAATTTAAACTAAATATTAACAAATATATTTAAGCAAAATCAAATTTCTCATACTTAGTGTTGTTTGTCAACCAAGTTTGATGTATTCAGAAATATTATATAAATCACGTGGACGAGATTATAAACGTAGTTAAAGTTTAAAAGCACCTTCATCATCACCTAACGCTGTTTACTTTATTGAATTATTCTTCATTAATTTTCAATAAGGAATAAAGTCAACTTTGTTAATCTAGCAGCAAACGAATGAATATTAATTCACTAAAATAAATTACTATACATATATACAAACAAATTTGTATCTACATTAGTTTCATTTAAAGAAAACATACTAATTTAAATATAATAAAATGTAAGGATAAATTAAATTTACTTGTATGTTTTATAAATAAAATTACTTTTACAGATGTATACAAATAACCGCGTTATTAGAAAAACAAAAACAAAAACAAAAACACCGCGTACGGTGTTCATTGTCAACTAACGTTTGACGTACAAATATAACAAATATAAACATTATTGCTTGACACTTGACAGTAGTGCTTCTAATTATGGATTTTCACTGTACATTCAAATTTCAAAATAAACCACAACCTACTAAAGTTTTCTGATCTACCTTCTACCTGACAATGACTGGTAGATTCAAATAATCAGAATTATGCACAATACTTAATTTCATGGAAGTTATACATAGAATTCCATATACCCCACGTAGCAGGGTTATTTTCTCCTTATTTAAATATATCAATTGATTTCACCTCTTTATTTTGCATTAAAAATAAAAAAATGAAATGAATGTCTTCATTTCAGTTTAAATTTGAATTCTTACAAACAAGACATGTAAAATACTCAAAGGACATTACTAATGTTCAAAATTATTTCGATATTCTTGGTAAAAGTAAAAAATAAAAAATATGAAAAAGATCTTCTCATGTTACATGAGGTTTATGTTCCGTATTTTTATATTTTTGTTTTATGTTTCATATTTTTGCATTTTTAAACACGGAATATGATCCTCGTATTTTCATATTTTTGCATTTTTAAACACGGAATATGATCCTCGTATTTGCGCGCAAATATGAGAGGATTTTAGTTGAATCAAATTTAACTTGTTCTTTTTCTTTTTTTTTTTCTAGAAATGTTGTTTTGAGACTCCGTCAAAGGCACTCGTGTGAGGACACGGTACACGTGCCCATTTTAAAATTTTAGGAGAGATAATAATTATAATAAAATAAATTATATGATATGTGCGTTCAAGATAGATATTTAAATAACATGGCTCTTTTTTCTCAATGACTTCATATACTATGTTTCATTTTTTCCAAAGACATTGATATTAAAATGGACAACCAATCTTTGTTGGAATGGAACTGACCTCTCGTTTTTTTTTAAGTACGAAAGATTCCAAGTTCACACTTAACATAAGAATAGCCAAATAGGGAAATAAAAAAATAAAGGATTTAGAAACCGAAATTCCATCATCTAGGAAGTTTCACTTTCCCTCACCGTTTCCTTAAAACATGTTAATGCTTATCAATGAATATATATATTGAATGCCCTTCCAAGTTCCATCTCCAAAAAATCCATTCTTTTCATTCCCCTCTTTCATCTTCTGCTGATTAATTGATTAGAAGTCCCTAATCTTCGTTATCTTTTGCTTCAAATTAACATGAAGCATCAAAGCAAGGTCACACTCTTCCTTCCAAATTTGTTAATACTATTAACCATCCTACTACAATCAACAATATGGATTAGAGCACAGGAAGTTGGTAAGCATAACAAGATCCTTTTTCTTCTTTTGATTCATTTGATCTATGTGGCTTAATTTGAGTCAGTTGATGTCTGTACGTACATTGATCTATGCGGGTATTGTGCAGAGGATGAAAGCGAGTTTGATTACATAAAAGGGAGTGAGAAGGGTCCCTCACACTGGGGGGAACTGAAGAAGGAATGGGCTACATGTAAAAGTGGCACGATGCAATCTCCCATTGATTTGTCAAGCCACAGAGTGAGAGTGGTACGGAAGTTAGGGGAGCTAAAGAAATACTATAAGCCTCAGAATGCCACGGTCAGAAATAGAGGCCATGATATTCAGGTAATCAATCAAGAATATCACTCGACTCAAAATTTTTCTTTTAACATGTTTGAATGAATACGAGTTACGTTTATTTTGAAGCCTATTAACTATAACATTTGTGTTAGATTTATATTTATTTGTGTTTCAATGTAATACAGTTTCTATAGTTTTGCCTTTAAGGATCCTTAGTTCTGTATCTGCACCTGGGCAATGTCTGCACAGTTGAGAATTTATGAAAATATGTTTTTATTTCACTCATGTGGTTAAAAAAGAAAAACCCTTCATTGTAGCATCTCTCTTTGAGTGTGTGTGGGTTTCCCCTCTCATCTGAAGATATTTGCAGAAAACTGCTGATTCCTGAACTCACCTACATAAGCGAGTGGGAGAGACATCATAGAGTCCCAATAATGCACCCTGAAAAATCATAGATATTTAGTTGTACAGTAGTATTAGTTTTTACAAATGAATAATATATATATTCCTACATTATTTTCTTAACAATTTTTTATTGATTTATAAAAAATAATTAGCATAAAATAACTGAACCTGATGCAATTTATAAATTCAAGGATTCTTTCTTATTTATTTAACTTATGTAAATTTTATAATAAAATGAAATGATATTTTATGTTTGGGATACTGTGTATGTTTTCTAAATTATTGACCACCCAAATCCTTTTGTCAACATCTCTAGCCAATTAACTGTCATCATATCATAGGTAGCTGGCACTTAATTAGCACTAAACGCGGTTTTGTCCGGATTAAGTTTTTCTTTTTTAATGACCGAGATTAAGTTAAGAAGATAAGATACAGTTTGTTTTTGAAAATAAGTTTGAAATATTTGTTAACATAGATTTAACATCTCAATTACAACTAATAACAATATAAATTTATATTTATTTAAACATGAATTGAAACGTGCTAACAATATATTATTTAATTTGATTCGTGACTTAACCTTAGATTACAATCTGAAATCTCTTGATATAAACATTTACTTATAACGGATGCAGCTGAAATGGACGGAAGAGGCAGGATCAATAAACATAAACGGCACTGAGTTTTTTCTGCAACAGTGCCACTGGCACTCACCTTCTGAACATACCATCAATGGCAGGAGGTCTGTTTTGCTTCACAATCATTTTCTTTTACTGTTTTCATTTTTTATCCACGTAGTGAGTCTCATTTGTTTTGTATAAAGGCATTCACTATTATTTAACACAAGAATTCTTCTTACTGATAAATATTATTTTACGGATAAAGATTAGGTATAATATATTCGTCTGGTGTAATTTTTTTTAAGTATAAATTTTATCATTGAATTTAGTTGAGTTTGAAATAGACAAGATACAATGGTACTATATATTTAATTTATTATTTTAGTATGCATCAAACGGTTAATAATTCTAATATTCTATCATATTATGTCTATCAAACAAATGTTGATAGTTATTTTTAGTGTTTCCTTTAAATTAAATTTAGAGTTATAAGTAAATATTAAAATTTTTGCCCTTATTTTATTTGAGGAAGAAGATTAAAATTAATTTTTTAAATTAAAAAACTGAAATATTAGGTATGACTTGGAGCTCCATATGGTTCATGAAAGCCCAAACACAAACGGGAAAAGCAAGACAGCTGTTGTTGGACTTCTGTATAAGATTGGTCGGTCCGATCCTGTTCTCAACAAGGTAAAAGCATTTTGTTTGATGATCCAAATTGAGGAAATGAAAACACACACAAATATGTTCTATAATGGATCAATAAAGATTAAAACGGGTTTTTTAGCATATTTATTTATCTGAATAAGTGTGCTTGAAACTGTTTCAGTTGTCAAAATACATAAAAACCATGGTGGATGAAGAAACAGAAAAGAGCATTGGGGTGTTTGATCCCTCAGAAATCAAGTTAGGTGGCAAGAAGTACTTTAGATACATGGGCTCCCTCACTGTCCCTCCTTGCACTGAAGGTGTCATTTGGACTATTAACAAAAAGGTTCCATTCATTATAACTTAACCTTCAAATACCCTTTTCATTCACTCTTTTAGCAGTTTTGATATTCTTAGCTATCAATTTTTTCGAATTTCTTATTCGTTTTTACATTATAATCTCATCACTCTGACGTCTTTTATTTCTCTCTTTTTCTTTCTTATTTCTTTTATTGTATCACCCTGAGATCTTTTTTTTCTTTTTAAGAAATTTGGATTAAACTATTTAAGGAAAATTAACTTTTAAAAAAGAGATACATGGACATCATTAAAAAAGTCTTTCAAATTTTTATTTGCATTGGGATTATCTTAATTAGCTGTTTACCTGAACATTTTAACTTACATGTCCTTTAGATAAGAAGTGTGTCAAGGGCCCAAGTCAGGTTACTTAGAGAGGCTGTCCATGATGTAAGTATTCTACTTTGATTTCCTGCATTAATAACACACACAATGAAAATAAACATATAAATTGAGTTCAATAATATTGAACAATTTCTTTCTGAGAGAAAAAAAGAAACTAGGGATATCAACTTCAACTGTCTCTAACTCACCTATGTATGGTCCACTCTATGGCAGCATGCAGAGAGGAATGCTAGACCAATACAAAGCCTGAATAAACGAGGGATACAACTCTATGCCCCCAAACGCAAGGAATAAATTATCCACATAATTTGTTTTTTTCAGCAATAATATTTTTTGCTTGCTAGTTTTAAAAATTCTTTGATTAGTCGTTGCTCCTGTAGTCTAAATAATTATGTTTATAGCATTTTGCTTTATATTCCCCCCAACCCTGATTGAGTTTTGTATACTCAATTATTCATATGGTTTCGGATGGAAGAACATAAAAGACGATTACATCAAAAGTTGTGTTTTATCACATTTACTTATTACTTATTCTCTCCAGAAGATTATAAAAAAACTACAGTCTGGTCTCTTAAATTGCATGTCTTCAAGGACGAGTAAATGAGTCGACACTGGGTGTTAAACTCAGGTATTTAACTTTATAAAGTTTCATAAAAAATAAAATTAATAAATATTTTGTCGTATTATTTTATTTTAATGAATAATATATTTTTAAAATACAAATAAATATTAAAATTTTTGAATAATATATTTATAAATGTTTAAAGCATATAAAATGATTCAACAAGTTGATTGACCTCGTACTTTATAAAAATTTATTAAATAGTTCAAACAAATAAGGTTGACATTTCGTATCTACATATAAAAATTGTATCTCTTTCAGTGTATTCAACTCTACTGAAGTATCATACTGAAAATATTCATTCAACATATTTAACTTGTTTTAAAAAATTATATTATACTAATTTGCTTAAAAAGCTGAGTCTTTCCAAACACATGTTTGATGTTAAATTAAAAATTGTCTTCATACTTCCTCTAATTTTTATTTTGACCTGTACATGAAAATATTTTACATTTAGATCTCTACATTAAAAATATTTATGAATTGATTCGTACGGTTTGCCAGCATTATAATGATATTAGATTTGGTTTCTACATTGAACGGCGTTTCTCATTTCAGTACACATAAAAATAAAACACCTCATTTTAATTCTTAAACACAAATAAGAGTTTAATTTAAATATGTCGAGAATGTAAAGATTTTTTATATTATATTATATATATATATATATATATATATCTATATAATGATAGCAAGTTAAACGACACACACACACACACACATATATATATATATATATATATATATATATATATATATATATATGAAAATAATTCTACATTTTAGTTCTAATTCTACATTTTAGTTCTCACACATCATATTATCTTTTAATTTTGGTCTTTATTTAAACAAAAAATATTTAAAAATTCATATAAAAATGTCAGGAATTACCTTTTAATTAAACCGCATAAATGTAAAAGCATTAAACAACTTCTGACGCTAAAATTGTGATTATAAAATATGTAATAATCTAGAAAAATCAGCCCATGTTTTGTATGCAAAGAAACCCAATATCAACGTGAAAAAAAGAAAAGAAAAGAAAAGAAAGAGGGACGATAAATGAAATTTTTTCTTGTCAAGGAATCATTTATTAAAAAATATCAAACAACATCGACAAAGTAAAATATCTTAAGATATTAGAGCATTATAGTAGTATAAGAATAGATAAATAAAAAAATTGTAAACTTGCATACATATTTAAATCTAAAAAATCTTTGCAATCTCAGAAGTTACAAACACAACAAAACAAAATCTTAATAAATTACAATTTTTTTTTTAACAAAACAACCTTAATAAAACAATAATAGATAAAATAGAGACTCTTTTTTCTCTTCCAAACTTTCTTGTATTGGAATGTTTTGTCACGATACATTGGCCCTGCAAAATGTTATAGATACTAAATATTTAGATTATCCTTAGTCCTTACCCTATTAATCACCCTCAAATCATTTTTAAAGTACCTAAATAGGCAGTTCACAACAACAAAAAATATTAAGGCGACTTCTTCATCTAAAATCCGAAAAGATAAAAATGGTTCACAGAAGTTCACTGGGAGCATAAAGATTGTCTCCTTTACTCAAATAGTGTCACCTTTTACTGTTTTTTTTTATAAATATTTTCACTCTGTGATTATTTATTCTATTCATGAAAAGGTCAACTTGTTAATCTACGTGAAGAAACGTACGAAAGTCTAGACATGCTACCGCATTTTTATCATGGGCAACTATAACAAGGGAATTACTCATTAACACCTAACAGCGCAGTATCAATATTATTAGAGTTACTACATAGTTAAATGATCTCTAAGAATTACAATGGCAATCATGTTAGTTCTTGAAAGATAAAATTTATATGTGTGATTGTTAAACATATTTAGTCCTCAAATTAGTTTCTTAAAGTTCATATATTTCATTAGCCAAATTAATCATATCAAAATTCATGACTTAAGAATTATTTTGAAAAAGAAAAGAAATTTAAAGACCTTAAAGCATAATTTCTATTGTTTATAGACTAATATTTTAATTAATGGTTTATATAGTATTTGACTATTTATTACTATTAGAGCTATAGAGTGAGTTAATCTAATAAATTGACTTGAATATACTTGAGAAATATGAAGGTTTGAATCATTTAAATTAAAGTTCGAATCAATTCAAATTTTTTCAGTTCAATTCATTTAAACTTGCATCACAGGTTCAAGCTAACTTGCACAAGCTTGAGTTGCCCATATTGGAATAGTTGCTTTAATATAATTGAAACTACTAAAAATATGTGTGTTAAATTTAGTTGATGGAGAAGTTTTAAGTTTTAATATGTTTGACTTTATTTTAAATTTATCAGATTATATTTATTGGTTATTTTTTACTGTAAAAACTAAAATTAAAACGCAATATTAATAAATAAAACATGTTATAATAATTTTTTTAAAAAAAGGAAAAATATAGAATGAGCTGAAAAGTAAGGTAGCATGCAAAAGTCTATCACTTGCATAGGGTTGAGTTTGAGTCATCATTTAAAAAAAACTGAATAATTTTATACTTAGTGAGCCTAACTCGCGTAAGTCTCCTATTTGTATAAAATTAAACTTTTGAAATTGAGTCCATTTAAGCTTTACATAATTGGTGAATTCAAATGGGTTGGCTCAAGCATGCTCAAGTTGCATATATTGAAGTGTTTGGTTTAAATAATTGAAACCATTTAGATTGATTTTGTTTAAATTTGTTAGATGAATTTGTGATGTTTTAAGTTTTACTATGTTTGAGTTTATTAGATTAGATATTTTTATTTATTTATAATGTAAAAGTTATAAAAATTAAAAGTAAGCTGTAATTTTGATAAGTATTGCTATAATAGACTTTTTTATATATAAAAAATATTATGGGTTGAAAAGTTGGTTGACTTGCATAGGTCTACTGCATATACAGTATCATGTGAGTTGCTGCTATTTTAAAAGTCTGAATAAACCTTACCTTTTTTATCCTCATGTTTTATAAGCTTGCTACTTGTACAAAGTTGGATTGAATAGCTTCAATTCACAATCAACTATATTTTTGTAGTTTTTTTTGCATTATATGTTTGTGACTTTAACATAAGTGACTTAATATTTATGTTAAATTTGACTTTTGGTTGTTGGTGTTTGATATCCACACAATGATATTGATTCATATGCTGAATAAATTTGGTTAAGTTTAATAAGTGTAGTGTAAAAGTAAATTAAAATTAGGTAAAATCAGTGCTTTTGTTTTTTTAGAGTGAGTTTCAATTTAATGCTAATAAAATTATTAAATTATTTTTAAATAATTTCGAAGGACATATTAGAATATGCAAAAATTTTTATAGAAGTAAAAGTATTAAAAGAGATTAACGAATTTTTTTAATTAGCATGCTTTAGTTATTTTTTGTTTATATTTGAAATCATAAAATTTATTTAAATGAGTGTTATATGAATCCATAATACTAGAAATTATAATTTTTATATTAAAATATAATTTGGTTCCCATTACGGTCCCTGATCCACGATACCAACGTGTGGCATTGACGATGACGAGGCGCGCGTGGGGATTTCATAGTTTTTCCTTTGCAACACAGAACCAAAGTGAAGGAACTGTGAAGTCACAAGTTAGCGGCGCGCGCACACACACACACACTCTGAACTGTAACCCACGAAAGCAGGATAATCTTTGTCCCTCCAATCCCGACTTAGATTTACTGTTAAACCGTTTCTTTCCTTTGCACTTCTTCAATCAATGGCAGCAACCTCAACATCACTCTTCTCCAATCTCCGTTCTCTCAACTCTCAACCTTTCTCTTCCTCTCTTTCGTTCTTCCAAAACGTCCATTCCAATCTCTCCTTCTCTTCTCATAAACCTGCGCGTGGCGTAGTTGCCATGGCTGGCTCTGGCAAGGTACTCACTATTTTTTCAATCAATTTTATTATCATGCCCTTTTTAAAAAGTCACAACTTTCTATGGGGGAGTTAGATTCGTGTCATTGTGATTTCACTGAGGAATTTTAATTCTTCTTAACGGGCTGCGTTTGTTAGTTGCTATCATTTCCATTGTCATTTGTCTGTGTATAACTCAATGTATTATGATACAATTTTGCGTATAAAATCTAGCTAGCGTTTATTTAATTCAGACATTTTATCCTTAGTTATTGGTTTAGAGATAGTTACCTAGAAAGTGTGTCGCTAGTATTCTTCTTATTGTATATATTGATTCATCTTTTCCTTTCTGTGTGGTTGCAGTTCTTTGTTGGTGGCAATTGGAAGTGTGTAAGTATAGTTTATACCCTATTTTCTTTTTGATTGATTGACAGGGGTTGTTCACTTATTCTTTACTAGTATGTAATACTTCGCATAGCTTATTTAATATTTAATTTTTTTAAAAATAAACATCTTGCTTATTTAGCAGCTCATTAGTAATTATTGGAATGTAAAGTCCCCATGTTAATTCTTCACATATCTTTTTTAGTTGAAGATCCATCGCCATGGTGAACTTGCTGAGTTTTCATCTTCAACTAAGCCCTCCACTTTTGATCTGTCCATAATTAGTCTCTAAGGACACATTTAGATAAATAGCTTAATCAAACGCTTATTTTAATAAATTATTATAAAATGTGAGTTTATTTATAAGTTCAGTTGTGAAGCTTATTGAAATAAATTAAAAAAGAGTTTCAAATAAGGTCATAAGACATTTTGATAAGCTTAAATAAGCCATTTCAATTGCCCCCTTCTTTCTATCCATCTCCCCCTTCCCAACCTGGAATTTATAGTGGAGCAAGCTTGTTTGAGATGCACTTTAGCAATGTTATAATCATAACTTGTTCATGTTATGTGATAAACTACTCTCAATGTTAGAGAATCAAGAGAACTCTTAAAGTTTATTTAATTATTCTTCACTCATTATGGTGGAGTGATGGATTGTTAAGTATAAACACGAGCTTTTTGACACTTTCTTAATATTTTTGGGAAATAGCTTCATGTAGATGTTATCTGTCTGTAAGATTTTTCCTTCATTGTTCAATGTTGAGTCTGTTTACCTATCATTCTTAAAATAACAAAATTGTTTCTTATCAGATTTCTGAGGTAGGAAGTCCCTTTTTGTTTTCTTTGTTCATTCTTCTTTTGTTTCATTTGCTCAATTACTTATAATTATGGATGGCACATTTATTGTCTTTAATCTATAAATATTTCATTATCTTTTGTTACCAGATTTCTGATATTGGCACTCCTTTTTTGTTTGTTTTGTTCAGTTGTTCTTTTGTTTCACTTGCTCAATCACCTATAATTATAGTTAACACATTTTATTCGTCTTCACACAATAGCTAATTCATTCAGCTACTAGCCTACTACTTTACATATAATAGTATTTTCTCCTTCAATACACTGCCTCACTGCCTCTATCTTTAAATACTTTTCTTAAAAAAATTATTTCTTATCTCTAGAATGGAACCAAAGACTCCATCAGTAAGCTTGTCTCTGACTTGAACAGTGCAAAATTGGAGCCTTACGTTGGTAAGATATATTCAATTTTCTACTTGAATTTGATGTGTTTCTAGTAGAAAGTTGAAGTAGACAAAATAAAAGGCTCATTTTCTTATTTTTAACTCCTAAAATCTGTAAATAAAAGAATATCAGTTACTGAGATTGAAAATGCTTTTTTCCCCTGCCATGCTGATACATTTGGGTTACCAAAATGTTGATATGAAATATAATATCTATTCCCAAATTCCTAATTATGTGATACCTTGGTTCTAAGTGGACTTTTTCTGTCATATTGAAATGGACTAGGTGTCTAGTTGAGATTAATAAAAGAAAAACAAAAAAGTACACATCTAGTAGGTGTTTATGCTAGAAACTTATTCTTGATAATCCTGTTGATTATATTGTCTTTTTATTCCATTTTTAATCCTTTCCATTTTGTGAGAAGTACAGATGTTGTTGTTGCACCTCCCTTCGTATATATCGATAAGGTGAAAAACTCAATAACAGATAGGATAGAGATATCTGCTCAGAATTCATGGGTGGGAAAAGGTGGGGCTTTCACTGGAGAAGTCAGGTTAGCTTCCCCGTTCCTGTTAAGTTTGGCATGTTAATTATTGTTGGACTTTTGTTATGTTAGGCCTGTTGAATAATGATTACAACAATTTGCAATAGATATTTTGAAACGAGAAAAAAGGAAGCTGAAATTGAAGGAAAAATGTTTATTTTCTCTTAAATCAAAGTCATCTTTTTGGTTGAGCCATCTCTCCCAAAAGCTTAAGCTATTACGTGAATGCTTATGAATATTTTTATATCCAATAGTTAAATTGCCAGTATTATAACACAGACCAAAGTGGGCGTAAAGTTTTCTTTTGATTGAATCTCTTTTTTTCTCCAATTCAGTTTGAGACAGAAGGTTTTCTTTGTGATTTACTTTGAACTTCATTGACCTTATGTGATCTTTTACTCATAATTGTTATATTAAGCTGAATAGTTTTTGGGAAAATGTGTTCTTTTGTTTCATATCATAACTTGTACTTCTCAGCTGTAATTTCTGAAATATTTATCCGAGTCTTATTAGAGAAAAGCTTCTGGAAAAATAGAGAAGCATATTTTGTTTCTAATTTATAGAAAAATTTTATTCATTTTTTATATTGCTCTTTCCTCCTATAAGGACTTCTCTTGAAGTTTACCCAAACTGAGCCTTTATACTTTTGGCATCATGCACTAACAGCACTGAAGTTTCACTTTATGGGTTTTCTGAAGACATGAATTTGGCAGATCACATGAAAGCTTAAAACCAATCTCTTTAGGTACATGTGCACACCATGATGAATTGAACATCTTCTATTCTTTTTTAGTATTTCACTAAGACATTAGCATCCAGAAATATATTTTTGTGCATGTTATATCTCACCTTTTATGCGCTTACATTTCCATAGGTTCTAACTGCTCCAAATTTTGAGATTTTCACCAGGATAAGTTCCTTTATTGGAGCTAGTTGGTGTCTTCCCCTGCATGGTTTCTGTACTGTTTTGATCTTTAATTTGGGTATCACTTATGGCCCTGCAAAATGGTTCCTTTTATGCTTTAACATTTTTACTTTTCTCATAAATGTATTTTTTTTATGGTGGAAGTTACTTGTTCACATTCTAGTTATTGGAGTTTTTTATATGATTTTCAATTCAAACCAATGATATCATTACCTTCTTGTGGTTCTTTGAACAAGTTCACTTGATTACCCCTGATTTCCATCTGACTCTTGTAGCGTGGAGCAACTAAAAGACCTTGGCTGCAAATGGGTTATTCTCGGACATTCTGAGCGAAGACATATAATTGGAGAAAATGATGAGGTGAAAAATTTCAGATATAATTTCTATAGTGGTTTTCCTGAAGATCAGTATTCTACTTTTCTTTTTAAGAGATGCAAATGTATAATATATTAACTGAAGATTGTGAACTCCAGTTTATAGGAAAGAAAGCTGGCTATGCTTTGAGTGAGGGTCTTGGAGTGATAGCGTGTATTGGGGAACTGTTACAAGAAAGAGAAGCAGGGAAAACATTCGATGTTTGTTTCCAGCAATTGAAGGCTTTTGCAGGTGAAAGTTTGTATTTATTTATAATCCATTTTCTTTTAGGTGGAGAAAAGAAAGAGGGAAGGGGATTGCAGTTTGATTCCATAACATCATTCATGTCCATTATGTGCAGATGCAGTGCCAAGTTGGGATAATATAGTTATTGCATACGAGCCTGTATGGGCCATTGGAACTGGCAAAGTGGCCACACCCCAGCAAGCCCAGGAAGTCCATGCAGCTGTTCGTGATTGGCTTAAAAAGCATGTCTCGGCTGAAGTTGCATCGAAAACGCGAATTATTTATGGAGGTATGTCAGTTTTATAACTTTGCATGTTGTTAGTGTCGGTGAAAGTTAAGATTCAGTTTATTAAGATTGCAAATTTTGATCAAAGTCATGTACTTTTGGGATTTTAAAACAATCTTTGCAATCTACCCTGGCCTTTTTTAATTAAGCATGTACCTCTAATTGATATTAGATTAATAGATTGACCCTGAAATTGTCAATTGCGAAACTTCCATTTAAGAAGTTTGGCTTTATTGACATCTTCGAAATTATTTCTTATTTAATAACACAAGTTATCTGTCTTGCAGGGTCTGTAAATGGGAGCAACTGTGCTGAGCTCTCAAAGCAAGAAGACATTGATGGATTTCTTGTTGGTGGTGCTTCATTAAAGGTACATGCTTTATTAAAAAATTCTTTGAGCTGAGTGTGCTTTATTCCTTCAGTTTATAAGTGAACTTGAATGATTGCTTGTCAATGTTTGTTTGCTGTACAGGGTCCTGAGTTTGCTACCATTGTCAATTCAGTCACATCCAAGAAAGTTGCGGCTTAACTACTTACTATGGTTAAGTTAGTATTATTTGTGGCAATACATGGAGTTTTTTTTCATTACTCGTAGCAATTTTCTCTGGCAACGAGGTGCATGTTTGATTTAGTTTGATTTGAAGAAATAATCGCTTGTTGTTTTCAATATCCTGATAGAAAGGTACTTTAAAAAAGAAACGATTATTTCTTCAAATTTAAGTGTTTCTAAGCATGCAAGGTATGAAAAACATTTTTTTTAGCCATGATTTTCTTGGAGCGATTACAGATGCAAAGCGTCTTAAAAGGCAATAAACGTTCCTAGATTGTTGGTCAACACATCGCATCAACATTGAGAAATCTTAGTTTAACTTAAAATAGCACTTTAATAATAATCATGTGAACTAATAGAGTAATGATTTATGAAATGATGCATATGCCCGATGTTTCTTCTAGTAGTCCTTATATAGGATTTGGCTAGGGGTTGAATTACTATCAGGTCAACAAAGCCTTACCACAAGTTAATCTCAGAACGTAGGTGCCTCCAATGGTTAAATTCAAACTAATTTAATTGCTTCAATTCAGCCCAAATCGCATTAAAATGATTAAAATCAAAGAGTTTGAGTTTTGTGATTTGAAGGATTGAAATTACATTTACATGCGTGACACAGGTTGACCATTAATGTATCATAAACATTCCAAACCGAAGAGCTTCCATCTTTCCATTTTTAAATTATCATTCCTGGGCCGCTGCGGGTGGGTGTGGGTGTGAGTGACTTATAAAGACAAGTTCATAAATAAATCCAGCAAACCCACCACCAATGAGAGGCCCAACCCAGTAAACCCAATGGTTGCTCCAGCTCCAGTTCACCACTGCAGGCCCAAACGACACAGCTGGGTTCATGGATGCCCCATCAAAAGCCCCACCGGCCAAAATATTCGCTCCAACGATGAACCCGATTGCAATTGGCGCAATCGTTCCCAAACTACCCCGCTTTGGGTCAACGGAAGTCGCGTACACCGTATACACCAACCCAAACGTCATCACCATCTCTAACACCACGGCGTTCCCCACTCCTACACCACCCGAAAGTGCAAAAGCCGGTATGCTCTGCGTTGCACCGTAACAAAGCTCACTTACCGTTACGCAAACTGTTAGTTGCAACAAACTGGAACTTATTATAACGGTAAATGAAACGGTCGTACCTTTCCTCCGGTGACGAATTTGAGGAGCAAGCAAGCGACGATGGAGCCGAGGAGTTGGGTGATCCAATAGAGGATGGTCCGGAGGAAGCTGATGTTGCCGCCGAGGAAGGCGCCAAAGGTGACGGCGGGGTTGACGTGGCCGCCGGAAATATTGGCGCTGACGGAAACGGCAACGAAGAGGGTGAATGCGTGGGCGACGGCGGCGCAGGTGAGGGCGGTGGGTGCGTCTGCGGTGAGGTTATTGACCGCGATGGCGGAGCCGGAGCCGGCAAAGACGAAGATGAATGTGGAGATGAATTCGGCGAGAGCGGCCCTGAGGTTGTCCGACTGAGTGGCTTGTTGAGCCCTTCCGACGATGATGTTGCCGATCGGCATTGTCCGTGTGATCAGGATCCAACGGTGATGGGTGCGTCTCTGATCTGCTACCACTTCGAGAGTTGGTTTGACTTTTATCCCACTACTAAGCTCAGCTCATGTCGCCCTTATATTGAGAGTGAGCCCTCGTACGAAACTGGCTGCAGCCGGTTCCGGTATGGCAATATAAGTCAACATTGAAAAAGTAGAGTAAACTATCTTTCATTAAAATAAGTATATAAACTAATTAAAATATTATTTTAGTGTTTAATACATGTAATTATTAATTATTTTAATTTTGTTAGTTTTAAGAATTTATCAAAATAGTCAAAAATTTAAATAAAATGCCATTTTGATCTTTAATATATGTAATTATTAATTATTTTAATTCTTAATATATATAATTAACAATTTCTTTAATCTTTGATATCACATAGACATTAATTTAAAATAAATTAATTTAATAGAGTTAAGTGTTAGTTAATTATGTCACGTAATATTTAATGATAATGTGATGATAAAGTAACATGCTTTAAAATTTATTTTCTTAAATATTTAAATATTTCTTTTTTCATCACGGAATGTTAAGTATCATGTCTAATATAGCATTTAACATGCAAAGTTAAGTTATTCATAGTAAATTTAATGTGTAAGTGATTACAAATGATTGACGTGTTATTAAAAATTAAAATGATTGATAATTGTATGCATTGAAAATAAAAATAATATTTTATTTATATTATAAAATATTTTAATGAATTTTTAACTAAAATGATTATTAACTAAAATAATATTTTACTTAATTTTAAAAATATTTTACTATATTTTAAAAATAATATAGGCTCCCGATCCTACGCTAAAAATTAAAATGATTGATGATTGATGATCGTATGTATTAAAAGTTAAATAACATTTTATTTATATTATAAATTATTTTAATGAATTTTTAACTAAAATGATTATTAACTAAAATAATATTTTACTTAATTTTAAAAACATTTTACTATATTTTAAAAATAACATAGGCTCCCGATCCTTCGCTAAAAATTAAAATGATTGATGATTGATGATCGTATGTATTAAAAGTTAAATAACATTTTATTTATATTATAAATTATTTTAATGAATTCTTAACTAAAATTATTATCAATTAAATATGTTAGAAACTAAACTAATGTTTTACTTAATTTAAAAATTATTTTAATAAATTTTTAAAATAACATAGATTAAAATGATAATTTACTTAAAAATTAAATGTGATTTTGAATTTAGATTTCACTTTAACATGTCTAATCAAAGGCGATGTAATGGAGAAGTTATTTGAGCCAGTTATAAAGGCTTTTAAACTAAAAACACTTGCATTTATTTACTTCATCTTAACAAATGAATGACAGAATGAGCAGTAATTTTACCACTTAGTCAAATGTTACATCAATTTGTAGTTTTCGTCTTATTATTCCTTTTCTACCTTTAACTTTGATTTATTGAAATAAAAAGCATTTAGCCACCTTCAAATAATAATTAAAAAAAACACTTTTCAAAGCATATGGCTTTTATTGTTAATTTAAAAATAAAATATTAAATTATCAATATTTTAAAACAAATTTTTTTTTTGTCATATGGGCTTTCTGGTGTTTATGTTTATTCTGAGATATGTCTTTTTGTCGTAAGATAGAATACCCTCTTTTTTACCTCAAATTAAAGCCAATAATATTAGTGACATTTTCTTATGTAAGAAATTTAAAAAATTGTGGCTGCTGGGATTCGAGCCCAGGTCTCCACGGCCACAACGTGGAATTCTTACCACTAAACTACAGCCACAAGATATAACATATTATTTAATCTTTAATGAAATGTTGAATGAAATCGTATAGTGTCATTTGCTCAAACTTTGGGTAACATGTTTTATATTAATCTAACATGATATCAGTTAATTATCATGTCAGCCACTTATTCTAATAGTTGTTATAGTATGTGGCAAGGACGCTTGGCAAATAAAATTATATGTAAATTAAAAAAAATAAACTGAAGATTTTTTTTATAGGCAATGTAATGCCAATATTGATCGGGAATTCCCTAAAGCATAAATAAATATGCTATGCTTCACAACTGAGATAAACCAAAATATTATCTTTTTGTTTTTAAACCAAAGTCATTCTTATATAGCTTACTGAAACAACCAAAATATCAATTACCCCTTATAAGATAACCAATTTATGGCTAACGAAACCGTAGTTTTTTGGATCTTAATTTTTTTGCGACGAAAATTATTTTTGAAAAATAATTACTCTCATTATATTTTTCAAAAAAGTAACTGTGTTATTTTCTTACAATAGTTTAAACCAACCATGTAGATCATGCTTTTACATAGTTTTAAATTATTTTTAGTCAGAAATTATATGGTGTTTTCAAGTCCAAAGGATCCAAGATTATTCAAATGGCACCGTAAAATTCAAACATGACCTTTGATTTTTGCTCCATGTTTGTATGCCAGAATCAAATGGTATTAGGGGTAAAACTTAATAAATTGGCGTACATCTAATAACATTTCTTATTAAAAATAATTTTTTTAGAAATTAATCCAACTATTGATTCTTATAATATTATTATAAAAATTATGTGTGTAAATTTTTACATAATATAGATATTTATAGATGTACAATTCATAATAGCTATTTACTAATATTTTAAATAAGTTATCATCCATTAAAATGTAGTAAAATAATGAAGTATCAATTAGTATTCAAATTATGTAAATTTTATAAAAATTTAAAATTAAAGAATTAAATTGATATAATTTATTTTGGATTAAAAATTTATTAAAAAACTCATTTAAGATTTAACTAACATATTCAGTACACTGGTTTCCAAAACTTACTAGCGTGGGTAGTGTGTGTGTGTGTGTGAGGGTGATTGACTGATAGTATTTTACGTAATCAGTTAATAGCGACCCAAAAGAAGAAGTATGTAACACAGTATATAGCTCCATAAGCTCCATCAGTTAATAATCCTAGTAATATTATTTTTACTGTTAACTAAAAATTATAAAAAATATATGAATATTAGTTATTTTCATTTTTAAATAAACCTTTTTCGTCCTTTTTTAATTTTTAATCAATTTTAATCGACAGTCAATGATGCGTTAGAGAAAAATGTATAGGAGAGTATATAGACGCAATTTATATCATACATTCATGATGATTAAAAAAAAATAAAAATAGAAGCGCATGCCTTTACTTTTAACAATAATAATAGTAATGTTCACACTATCTTACACGTCCCAATCTTACATTTTTTTTTAAAAATTTGGCTACGTTATCAATTTCAGTAACAATTAATAATAAAATATGATATATTAACATAATTCGGTGAGCGTTGATGGCAAATTATATCTATGTCTATCTATCAGTGCAAATTAATATAATCTATACTCAGCACTGTTGGTGATAAATCTCATAAAAATTAAAAAATAATAATATGATAAAATATATTTATTTTCACATATTTTCTTAAAAACATATATAAGTATTAAACTGTAATAATTTTGTGAATATTATCTCGTGCTCTAAAATTCAAACCACTAATGGTGGAATGATGCATGTGATCAAGTAGAATATCATACACGGGTATGGGAAGCATGTTATTCTTTTATTAAGATTATTAAGCAGTGAACAAGATGCTTTGCTTTAAGCCACTAACTGCAACTAATATATACCTGATGCTGGCGTTGGCTGTTACGTGCCCAAGACAAACCCTCCATTCGATAAGAATTCCATACGCTAAGAATCTCTCTTACCCTATTATCTCCATATACTCTATACCTTACACCTCCAATTGAAAACCCCTACGGCATAGCAACCGTCCATGCACGTATAAAACTTTTGGTATAATGTTATATTAGGCCTTATAACTTAGCACTAACTTCTATTCAGCAAACTGCATAATAAACATGTATTATTCAAATATTAAATGAAAAAGGTAAGATAATAATAATTTAGTCATTTAGTTCATGAATGAGCGATCTTATATTTTCTTAAATCCTAATGTCATTCCGATCATTTGAAAAATTTAAGTAATAAAGTAATTATTCCGGGACAAATTAATTTAGGAGAGGAAAAAAGGTAGCTGACCCTTTATAGCTAGAATATAAGAATGTAGTTTCGTTGGTATGAAAGCCCCTACAACACAATTAGTTCACATTTTAATTAACTAGAAGAAAATATGGATGATCATCATGAGGTTGTGCATTTATTGATTGTACTAGTTAGGACTAAAGGCGGAGTCACACTCTGGATATATAGTATATAAATTTTATTATTTAAGTCACTAAAAATTAATACTAAATATAATATTATGATTTATGCCAATTTTTTATAAAGATTTTAAAAAAATATACCGTTGTATAAAAAAGATAGCTTTAAGTGCCTATTATCAGTGATACAATCAACATATTTTCCGTAACATATAGTGCTTTTTACCGACACCAAATGATTGGGAAAGACTATGAAATATGAATCACATAATAGAGTGATGCATATATCCGGCGCGATTGTTGGATTATTGTCCACTAAGGCAGTGACAAATGTCGAAATAAGTGGTTGGGGTCAACTGCACATGAATTCCCTTCTTATTGCAAGTGCATATAGGTACTATTAATCATGAAGTCATGGCTCCAAGCTAAAATAATAATTAATAATACAGCATAATCTCGCTTCACAAGCCATAAGGATCGTGTCCAACCCATAATTTCCATGCTTAGAGTTTGTTAACTGATTATTAATTCAATTGGGCTCAAAATTAGTTAAATTAAAAGCTGTACTGCTATATAAACAAAGGAAACTATGTACATATTAAGAATGAACAGAAACACAAGCAAGAAAAGCAAATAATTAAAAAGGAGATAAAAAAGTGAGGTGAAAGTTTCAAATTCTGTGTGGTTCCAGGCTTGCAAACCGATTCCAGAAAGGAATCGTTGAGAAAAAGTAATGGGTTTGCTTCAAAGCCAACCGAATCTCACTTCTTGCCTCGCCTCATCATACTTCACATTGCATCTCTCTCTCTACACTTCACACCTGTCTAATACAATATTATCCTATCCCTACTATATATATAACTTCCAAGGTTGGAAACGCAAGTCTGGCAAAACCAAAACGCGGTTGTATACTATTCAATTCACGGACTATAACCTTTTGCCTCTACTTGAAACCTTCTCTCACACCAGCCACAAATATATAATTAACTCCCACTCTCATCCATTGCATCTTCCATCCCTCACACCCACATTCTCTTCTCTCTTTATTCACTTTTCTCTCTATAATATATTTGTTGTCACTCGCTCTTGATCACCTTGACACGTACAACAACCACAACATGCATGTCCAAGAGGAATTACTTGTGGTTTCCAATGATCACACACAAATGATCATCAAAGGGAAGCGCACCAAGCGTCAAAGGGCACCATCCCCTCTTAGGCTAGCCATGCCTTCAACCCCTTGTAGTGTTGGTGGAAGTAGCACTAGCACTTCCATAGGACTTGATAGTGCCACAACCTCACCCACCACCACAATTGAATTGAGGGAAAGAACCGAAGAAGAGGAAGACATGGCTAATTGTCTCATTCTCTTGGCTCAAGGTAATCATCACGTGGCTGCACCTACACCACAACGTCACAATAACAATAATAATAATAAGTCAAGCCTATTACTTTACCAATGCAAGACTTGCAACCGATGCTTCCCTTCATTCCAAGCACTTGGGGGACATAGAGCCAGCTACAAGAAACCTAAGCAAAACGGTTCTTTCACAGAAGAAAAGCAAGCGGTTACTAGTTTTGTGAAAGAAGAGGTTGATCATTGTGACCCCACCACAAGCACCACCCTCTCCTTGCAAATATCAAATAGGGTTAACTTGTGTAGCAGCAACACTGCTACTACTTCTTCTACAACAAAATCTAAAGTTCATGAGTGTTCTATCTGCGGTGCTGAATTCTCATCTGGGCAAGCCTTGGGGGGACATATGAGGCGGCACAGAAATTTTGTCAACACATCTACAACAAAGTCTATGAGCAGTGGAAATATTGGTGGTGGTAGCCATGAATCGCAAGAGGCCAAGAAACCCTTGAAGTTTGACTTGAATCTTCCAGCACCAAAGGAAGATCAGAGAGAATCCAAGTTTTCGTTTCAGCCTAGAGAAAACGTTATTGTCTTCTCTACATCTTCTTTGGTGGATTGCCACTACTGAGGTTCAGCTAAGTCCTTTCTATAATTTACTTAACCTCTCCAGGAACCAATTTGTATCAAGTGACCTTATTGTTATTTATTTATTTTCAGTTAAGCTTGTAAATGTCGATTCTTACGATTCATTCTATTGCATACAATGAAAATTGAATTCATTCAGTCGGTGAATTATGAATAAAAACATTCACAATTTCGTAATTTAGTATAATTTATTGTCATGATGCGTATTATTTTTAAAATTTCGTTTTTTTTTTCATTTTTTAAATCCTGATTGACTATCATCATGCATGTGAATCAGAAAATAAAATTATGATCCCTTCAACATGGATACACCTTTGGTAAAAAGAGAGGAGTACAAAAAGAAATCAGGATTCAAACAGGAATTGACGAAGAGCAAGCTCAAACTGTACAGCAAACAAAAAGAAACTTGACAGGAGTTCGCCACCAACAACACCACAGACTGAAAGTTATCCTTTAGTTTCCTTTATGTCTTCTCTTAATTTCGTGTGCTCAAAAGAATAGTTTAATGAAACTCACCCCAGAACAAGGGAGAAAAGGACAAAAGAAAAGTTGGCAGGCAAATTAATTAGTACCAAAGCAGTTGCCTAATCTGCAGACCATAAAGCAAATTTCCGCGTTATATCTGTGGAATCACCCGATTCAGTCACAAGTCAAACAGAAATAATGTTTGAATAATTTGTCGTATCTTTTTTTAGCGTGTAATATGACACGTATATACAGAGAAAATATACAAAATAAACGAAATAGCACAAAAATAAATAAAAATTACAGCATAAGTGTTCCAATTAATGGTACAAATAACAATTTCAAGTCAAAGCTTAATCGCTGCTGTTTATACTGCGGGGTGTAACTAGTACTCTTCTTCCCGGTGTGAGGTTACAATTTTCTATGGGAGAAAATTTATGTATTATTTTACAAGTGTTGTTAGTATTGTTAATTAATTAAAATTAAAACTTTAATTTTAATTAATAAACAGAATTAATAATATTTATAAAATTGCATCTAATTTTTTTAATCACTGTTTCAGCGAAAAATACCACACTTTTTTTTTACTTAATTGGTTAAATAAATAATATTATCTGCACATTATATTTTACGCCGTTTTATCGTACGTAGGGATAAACAAAAATGCATGTAAAGTTTAAGAGGAGATAGTGCCCCAATTTTCTGGTCATGACTCATTTGTCAGCCTAATCATCGTAAAAGCTTATTTTAATAATCGCTGATAGACGAGAGTGGTAGAGCTGAGATTTCTAATCACAAGCCCACGTAAAATGAGTAACCGGTCAAGTTATTAATTTTAAAATGAGTAAACGACCACATAAAATGATCAAATAAAACTTAGTTTATTTTTTTAATTTTTTTATTTTGTAAAATGAAATATTAATAAATAAATTTTAAAATTTTAAGAATTAAAATGTACGACTTATACTATTTTGAAGTCTAATTTAAAAATTTACTCGGCATAAAATAGTCCTATGTTTTGGTAGTTTGGAAACTTGGAATAATTTTTGGGATCTTCCACGTCACTAATTACTGTCTCTTTTTTCAAATTGCAACGTGTTCCATGAATCTAATAGTTAAGTCTTTGTCGTCTGAGAGGTAAAGAGAAACGGAGATGGTGCAATTCCCCCACCTTCATTTCTCTCATTAATATTTTGCTTATTAACGTATACAATTCTTTTTTTTATTATAGCATGAATTTCATGCGAGTGAATTTAAGGAGTTATGAAATATTTATAAAAGTAAATAAAAATTTGATAAATTAAATTTATACTAATTTTTTTTATAAACATATGCATATTTTTCTTGCTAACTTTTTTGAGATAGACATAAGAGAAAACACAACCACGAAGAATTAATGTAAAAATTCTAATTTAGAGAATTGTGACACATAAACTTTTTTCTTAACCACCTTAGTATACTTAATTTTTTCAAGGCAACTATTTAATATACGTATCTTATGACACTTTGAAATAATAGTATAAAAAAAAAGTTAAATATAAATTAAAATGTTTTTTATTGATGTAACTTGAAACAAAAAATACCTTAGTTAATATATAATTTTGACCTTTATAACTTTTTACAAACATGAATAATGTAGAATTTATTTTAAAATACTTGATTACTTTAACTGACTCGAACAATTTTCACTTCCATTAAAATATATATATTTTTTGTTTTTATTGTCTACACCAATAATTATAATTCAAAATTAAGAACTATCAAACTTCATCATAAAAAAATATAATACACATCTCACATCAATTGACCTGTATCATTATGTGTGTTATCATCATATATATTTTTATCAATGTCAACTAATACTCATGTGCTATTATCATACATCTTATATTAATGTTAATTAATATTTATGTATTATCACAACACACTTTATATCAATATCAATTGATGTCCATGTGTTATCACCACACACCTTACATTAATATTAATCAATGCATGTGTATAATTATAGATTTGTTTATAATAACTTATTATTTTCCATGACACTATGGTAATATTATGATAATACACTTCTCATCTTTTTTGAGAAAATCTCTCCCTCCTATAACGAGAGAAATATTGTTAATATCTATCTTTTATTTAAAAAGATTTCACTACATTTCTTAACACTTGAAAGGTTGCAAATCTTGTATCACACTTTTTTTTGACGTGGAAAATTAAACAATTCTAAAACCATAAAATATAATAAGAATGCAACATTCTATTGAACCAAAAACTTTTGATACTATTGTTTAGAAAAGTTATAGATTTTTTTTAGATCCTACTAGAAATAAAGAAATAAGATAATATATTTGTAACATAAGAATTAACATAAAAATTCTAAAACTAGAAAACAAACTATAATCATTATCTAAAAATAACTATAAAATAACAATGTAATTATCACATCACTTAAACTTTACTCTTAACTACAATTCTAATAACTCACCTACACTCTTTAAAACAACTACCTAATATACATATGACAATAATCTAAAATAAGAATATAAAAAAAAGTTTAAAATAAATTTAAAGTGTTTTTAACTAAAGCGATTTGAAACAAAAAACTAATTTGAATATATAACCATGATCTTATTGCTGATCACTTTTTCCTCCGTAAATATGTCATTGTCATTTTATAACTCGTTTAAATAAGTTTTATATACAAGATAAAAAAAGTTTTATATAAATAGAAATCAATATTTTTTGTTTAATTATATAACAAAACAAATTCTGAATCATTTTAACTAATACTTAATTTTTCATCACCGTTAAGCATAATAAAATATTTATAAATTATCATAAAATTATGTTACATAAATTAGAATAATTTTAAAGCTAAAATTGTTAAATTCGTGATTTTATGTGATTTGATTTTATTAAAAATAAAATATTTTAGAACTTTTATATATATATATATGTATTGTTATATATATATATATATATATATATGTATTGTTAAGAATAAGGGTTAAGAGCTTAAGAAACAAAATAAACTAAGGAGTGGACTTAGGGGTCCAGCTGCCACACCAATTTAAACACAGAAAGGATAGCAAATCATTAGAAGCTTTCTCAAAGCTATAAAAGGAGGAAAGAGATTTAAAACTAAATTTAACTAATTTATATGCACAATAATAGACTTAACAAGGCTAATATTATCCCTAATTTTACATATGACATGAAATACAAAGTAGGAAGAGCTATAAACTTGTTGAATGGTTTGCAAAGCTTCCATCTAACATAAATTTTGATTAGTATATTGTAAAAATACTTGAAAGCTATAATAAATGTCCCATAGCTTAACTTCAAGGAGAGTGCAAGGGAGTAAGAAACCGACCATAAAGCTAAAAGCTATAATAGATGCCCCGTAGCTTAGCTTTAAATTTGTGCAAGGGAGTAAGGAGCAATAGGAACCGACCATAAACCATAAATTAACAAATACTCATACAATAACACATAATATATTTCTGAATATTTTTTTTTTCAAGATATATGTCGTAGTTTAATGAATACATTAGGGCTAGTTCAAGTATATTTTCGGCTCCGAATAAGAAAGCCCAAAAGGTTGAAAATAGCGATACTGAAGGGCCCAAAACAAAATGTACTACAAACCAGCCCGCTTGCTGAGATAACAAGTACGGAAACAGTGGATCGAGGTTACCGATTACTTTTTACTTAAATTTACCTATTTCATCACTAATCAATAATCATTGCTATCTTTTATTTGAAAATGCCCCTTTTATATGTTTAGTGTTGCTTTTTATTTAATCATTTTTATTAAAATATTATTGATATTATTAATTTAGTTAATTGATAACAAATTATATAAAAACTATTTTAAATATAATTATAGATATTTTGGATTGGTGATATCTCCATTTTTTTTATTTCATCTATTTATTATAATATTGTAAATTAAAAAATAATTTATTATTTTATAGTAAATCTGAAATAATTTCTTAATCTGGAGTTTTTTTGCCACGTGGATCAAATTTTCGCCAAACAGCTGACGAAAGTATTAATTTTTAAATTTTTTAATATTTATTTCGTTACAAAGAATATGAAATATGACTTCTTAGAACGATTATATTAAAACTGCTCTTATAAGTCTATTTTAGACTACAACCGCTCTCTAAAATAGACTTATGAGAGCAGTTTTAAATTAACCGCTCTAAAAAGTCTTATTTTTGTAGCAAAATAGATATTAAAAAATTTAAAAATTAATACTTTCGCAAATTATTTGACAAAAATTTGATCCACATAATAAAAGAAATCTCAAATTAAAAAATTATTTTAAATTTACTATAAAATAATAAATTATTTTTTAATTTACAATATTATAATAAATTTGCCATTGGTTCCTTGTTTTTCACTCCTAAAAGGTCATTCCAAATAAGAGAGAGAAAAAGAAGAGGCGGCGTCACAGAAGAGAGGGAAAGTAAAGTAAGGATCAATGGCAGTTCCAGGGAGGCGCAATGGCATGAACGACGACGAAGAAGACTTAGACGACAACGCTCTTTTCGAAGAAGAAGGTCTCCTCGAACTCGAACTCGAAAACGACAGCGACACGCCTCCTCATCTCCGTGACCTCTCCGCTGCCGCTCAGCTCGGGGACCTCCACGCCCTCCGCCTCGCTCTAGGTTCTCTTCTCTCTCTCAATTACCTCTTCAAAACTTCAATCCAAACCCTTGCAAACCAGATAATAACGATTTTTATATTATATGTTACTGGAACAGACGATTAACATAATTTGGAACCGATGTGCTTCTCTTTCTGTTACATTAGAGGAATAATTTAAATCTATTGAAGGTTGGCATAATTGGCAGTGAAATTTTCAAAATTATCAACAAAAATAACTAGTAGTATGGTTTGGTTTTCCATAATTGCAGATAACTTGAATGGCAGTATCGATGAGCCTGTGGAGGACGGTGATACAGCTCTTCATTTAACATGTTTATATGGCCATTTGGCGTGTGTTCAGGTTTATTATCCTTGCTTGTTCTTGCTTTCATATGATATTATTGCCCAACAGGTTATGAATTATTGATATAAATTGCAGCTGTTGCTAGAAAGAGGAGCGAACATGGAGGTTAACGATGAAGATGGTGCAATTCCTTTGCACGATGCTTGTGCTGGAGGTAGTTTGAGTTTGGAATTTGAAATGACGTTCTGAAAATTTAACTGCTTTTTTTTTCTTTGGATGAGGTTTTTAATGTTATTTGGTTTTGGATGGCTGTATCAGGATTTATCGAGATAGTTCAACTGTTTCTTAACAGAGCTAATGATGCAGAACATATAAAAAGAATGCTAGAATCAGTTGATTCTGAGGGTGATACTGTGAGTGTTTTTTTATGCTTCGAAAAATTTGAGTTCCTACTGCTGATGCCAAAGTTGATCAAGCATACCCATTGCTAACCGTATTCAATCATGTTTCGTGAATTTCTCTTGATTTTTTCTGTATCATTGTCTTGTTTCCTGCAGCCTCTCCATCACGCCGCAAGGGGTGAGCATGTTGATGTAATTAGGTTGTTGCTGTCTAATGGGGCGTCTTTGACAAAGGCAAACTTGTATGGAAAGGTAAGCTCTTAAAGGAATTCAGGGCATGTTTTTGCTTGAGCAAACATTTTTTGTTTTTACTGATAATTATGAAAAGATGAGTGCTAGGAACACAGTGTCTAATTTAACTCTATCTAACTAATTCTCTCTTAGTTGTTGGTTGAAATTTATTAGGAACTACAAAATAATGAAAGAGAGTGATTTAATTGAGAGTGCAATTCACATAGTTTTTATGAAATTTAATAAATTTCAACTAATAATAAAAAATGTATTTAAAAGTGTGTTAAAGAATCCATTGCTAACATTTCTTTTATAAAAATATTATCTTAATTTTTCTTTGTTTCTGCTTTTAAATATTTGCATATGAAATTGTCAAAACATTGTTTTATTGTTTTTATTATTTTTCTGTAAATCTTCATAAACATTGAAAAGTAAAAAAAAAAGGTAACAATTTTGTAATTATCAGCAACAGCAGAAAATGTTTTCTCAAGCTAAATAGGTCCTAGTGAATTAGGCCATTCTGGTTTTTCATTAATTTCTAAAATAATTTTTGGCAGACCCCGGCAGACTTACCTGATCAGGACACGGATGCTAAGAGGCTGCTCGAAGCTGCCGCTACTGCCATGGCATGTTAATGGCGTTAGCATGTTGGTTAGTAAAAAGATTTAGATTCATTTTGGCACAGACGTTACACTTTTTGGACCATACAATTTGTATTACATTGCACTCTGTTTTCGAAGTTCAAAAGTGATTTATTGGAGGAACACCTTTGTGAATTTTAACTTTGGAGAGATAAAATCGAGGATTCCCGGATCGAGTTATTTATAGTGGAGACCTTGTTTGCTTACACTAGTTTGCATTACATATATTTGCTCTTCAACATGTCACTGAACTGAACTAAGACTGGATAGTTATACTTCTCGTTTAATTGGTTTCTTAAGCATAATTTTGAAGGTTGTCCTTTAATTATATCATAGTCTTAAGTTTGGTTATCATTTATTGTTATTATGTTCAATTAAATTCGAGTAATATATAATCAGGGCGGTGTTTGTAATTTTTTGAAATTAAGGAGAAAATATTCCAATTTTTCTTCAAGTTAAATGTTACATACACGTTGGTGTTGAAGCATAAAATGTGGTTGTAAAACTTGTGACAACGCGTGTGCGCCCATTGTCCAGTTTGCGTTGCACTGAATTTACGTGAGCATGTTGTACTGAATTAAATTCTTTTTATTTAGTCAGCACCGAGTTAAATTTTGAAATTACCATATTCACAAATTGAAAGGTTCGATACTACAAGAATTGATTTAGCAAGAGTTGAAAGTTCAAATAATAAAAAATGACGTGTGTGAGAATATTTTTAAATTATGAGGATAATTTTTGTTCAGATGATAAATTATAATTAATTTTTAAAAGGCAATGGTTTGTTAGCACTCTTCTTTTGCTTTTATGAGTGTTTGAGTGATATTTTAATAGAATAAATAATGGAAAATGAGAGATACACACGAAAACCCTAAAGAAACAAGTTTTGGCAGCTCCCTCGCAGATTTTAACATAGCACGTGTCAGTTCATCTCTTAACATGTTTAAATTGATAGGTAAAAAGATGCAGCAGTTGCATAATATATCAGGATTGACTATGGAGTAAAATATATCTTTCGTAGTTGCACAAAGTTGTGGAGATTTGAATAAATAATAGGCTGGAAACAGTAACAGAAGGCAGCGAAATTTACACAAGGTATTGGCACTGCTGTTGCCAATTGCCCATTTACATTGATACAAGTAATTAAGCAACCAAATGACACCAATAGGAAATCACGGAAAAAGCTTACATGTACAAATATCAGTCCAAGATGTGCTAGTTATGATTCAGTGTCCACCTTACAGCAATTAGGAACAACAACCACCAAATTCGGATGGTTGTGGTTCCTGTTTTTGCTTTGAAATACTCCTTTTTACTGCTGTTGATCCTTCTTCCAAAAGACTAGGAACTTCCATTATCTATGAAATGGTATCATATTTGTCACTATTGAAAAGGAAAAGCAATGCACAGCAAATAATCTACAAGAGATTTTTATTCATGCAAGAATACCATCACTTCCGTTCATAGTTCCACTCTTTCAACATTATGATTACCTCTGAAGAATTCAGTGTAAATTTATTTCTTAAATTCAGATGAAGAATTCACCCTTCAAATCCTATTCTCACTGATCCCTAAAACAAACATTATTCACTTAATTTATTTTTGTAGATTGTCCATTAAATCACTGGCTAATAGACCCTTTACCTGTTGAAATCTTAAGAATTGAACACACATGCCACTTATTTTTGTAGATTGTCCATTATTCAATTAATTTATTTTGTAGATTTTCCATTAAATCACTGGCTAATAGACCCTTTACCTGTTGAAATCTTAAGAATTGAACACACATGCCACTTAATTGAAGTAAATAATCTGTACAAATAAAATGATTAGAGACCATTCTTCTCTCACAACGGAGCAAAGAAAACTTTTTTTCCCTAACAGGTCGAGACTGACATAAAAAAGATCTTTGATTTTCTGTTCTTTTATCATTCAGATTTGTTACATGCTTAAGTTACTGTATTCAGTGTTTCCCCTACCGTCAGTTAATTGGAAAATTGACTTTTTTACGTGAAACAAATGTCATAATAAGATGCTTCTAAAACTGTACCTTTAGTGCGAGTTCCTTGAAGCACATCTCCACATTTTCTAGAGTTTTGGCACTACATTCAAAAAACAAACATCCCAACTCATTGGCAAGCGCTAAACCCTCTTCTTTGCTGACAACCCTTTCAGAATCCTAAGAATAGAGAGATAAACTATTAAAGTTATTCAACAGAATACTTGACGACAAAAACTGGAAATTAGGAGAAGTCTATGTTCTATAATTTGATTGCACAAAAAATATAAAGCTAGTGTCTACAAGTGAGGAGCCTCATATTTAAACATCTTAAACTGCTGTTAACCACAGGCTCAGGTTGCTTGACTACATGGAAGGTTCCAGATGACACCTCTTTTCTGTCTAAAGTCCATGCATGTATAATCCCATTAGGTCAATATTCATTGAATTGTCATGGAATTCGTAAAAATATGCTATATAAAGATGGAGTGATGGACTCAAAAGAGTTGAGATGTCAATTCTCATATTATCTGGCTAAAAAATGTAAGGATCTAACTTTCTGATGGATGTCATTGTTCAATCATAGTGATAGTGGAAGAAGCAAGGAAAGTTGGTATAAGCATTAAATGCTTGTATGGATGTACCGACCATATGCAAGACAAGATCAAAATTTGATCAATTTTAGTTGGTTTCTAAGTTAGTCTTGCTGCTTGCACCTAGAAAATATGACTAATAACGAATTCTACAAGTGTAACTCATGACACAGACAGAACTTGAATATTGCTTCATTATCGTAATGCAGAGTGCAAACATGCTCAGAGCCACATATTCATTGTATTTTATAATCAATTTTCAAACATTTCATTGAGGAAAAAAATCATGGTAGTTACTTATTCATTTCCTTGGCTCAGACATTAATGAGCAAGACAAAAATACCAAACTTACTCTATCAACTTTATTTCCTACTAGCACCTTCACGCAATCCTGATTAGTAGAATAGAGTTCCACTTCTTTAGACCACACTTCTGATAAGTTTGTAAAGGTGTCTCTTCTTGTTACATCATAAACTATAAGAGAAAAAAAAAAAGAAACCCTATAAGTAGAAACCTTGAATTTATAAGATGTTCACTAGCAATGATTCAAAAACATGCATATCTTGCTCATTAAAAACTGGTTATTTCAGAAGCCTCACCATGAACCTAAGAAAACGATGGTTACAGATTCTTCAAGGAATCAAAAGGACGCAAAAATAATGGCAAAAACTTCCAATAAATATCAAGCAACACTAGCAAATTTAAGACCTATCTAATAATTGAAACTGCTTTTAACGCATGATCCATAACAAATGTTATAATTCCTTGTAAATGCTTATCATATTCCCCGAGTGCAGGGTTCAAACTTCATCAGATGTCCCAATAGGGTCTATGAAATTAAAAAATCAAAATACAGTTCAATACACGTCGCAACCACTGAACAGAGACCTCTAGTGCAGAAGAAAAATATTTTCATAAGTCATTTTAGCATACCAAGAATGATTCCTTGCGCTCCTCTATAGTAAGAACTAGTTAGTGTTCTGAACCTTTCCTGCCCAGCTGCAATAGATGTAATGTATACGCGTCAATATATTACTCTAATCAGTCATTTAGGTCAATGGACAAGCAATCCACATGATGCCAGGAACTATAAAAAAGTCTAATTTCATGAACTAAAAGCTAAGGATTTAAACATTTATTACCAGTGTCCCAAATAGTTAGTTTCAATCTCTTCTCACCAACTGTGAGCAGCTTGATCTTAAAATCAACCCCTACATAACATAGAACAATAGAAGATAAGAACAATTGCATCAGCTCATATTAGAACTAAAATCTTATAAAAAAGAAATCAATTCAAAAATTCAATGTCAATTCCAATGACAAAGAAGGAACAAAATAATAGAACAGTTATTTTGTACAGAATGATATCTGCCAAAGTATTAAAGCAAACTCAATATTTAAGGACCATGGATTCAATCATCACAGACCAAAAAAAAGGAGAGAAGAATCAGTGTTGTTTGGTCTACGACAGAACAATTGAAACCCACTTAAGAAGTTCAAACTTCAATAATTACTTACTGCAAACCATGGATCAACAACCATCATACGACAACGTTTGGTGGAGAACACTACAAGATTGCTTTGACAATAATATCCCATGACTGTTTGAGGTTGAAGATAGTAATAACAGTGGTAAAAAAAACAAAAAATAGAATATTTTTTTCATGGTTTAGGTGCAAAAAAAATTAGTGGGGGGAAGTATGAGATAGAAAGAATGGATTTTTGGAAGCAGGAATGAAATACCAATAGTGGGGGCAATATCTTCAACAGAATTGGAGATGAAGCTAACAAGTAGGCTACTTTTTCCCACAGCAGAATCACCGATCAGCAAGATCTTGAAGGAGAGATCATAGCCACTGCTCTGACCAGAAGAAGAACTCATTCTCTGCCCTGAGTCTGAATGATGATGATGATCACAATGAAGTGCTTTGCAAAAGAATGTTTCTAAAAGGAACCTATGAAAGTGGAGAGAGAAGGAGAGAGAGAAAGAAAAGAAAGGAGAAAAGGGACCCTGTAATGAAATGCAATGGGGTATAAACTTAGCAGCATCTTTCATTTATTTGCCGTTTGAGAGAGAGAGTGAAATAGAAGCTAAAGAAAACGGCTATCTTTGCCCGAGTTCACGAACAATATGATCAGGTGACACCACAACAACGTATATATTCTTTTCTTTCTTTTTATGTAATCCTTTTTGTTTTTGGAATTATTCTTGTCACCACTCTTTTTGTTCTTATTCTTTTTCTCTTTTAATCTATGTAGTGACTCGTATTTAGGTCTTACATGATGGAAAAAGAGAAGGAATGAAAAATAGAATGAAGAACGGGTGAAATGGATAGCGAGAAATTCGCACTTACAATTTATATTTTTCATTTTAAATAATTAAAATGATTTAAGAGGATTATTTTCTAATAGAATGCTTATTTTTCTTCATGTTTATTATAATTCCTCTACAATCAAGAGAACGATAAAAGGAAAAAAGAAAAAGATTTGTAAGTTAATTGGTTGATGTAATAAGGAGAGATAAAAAGAAAAAGGGGTTGTAAGAAAATATAGCGAAAAGAAAAAGAAATGCGAGTTAATTGGATAATATAATAATAGAGATAAAGAAAAAAAAATGAATTGTAAGAAAATATAGTAAAAATATGTTTTGAGAATATTTTTTTTTCTAAAATAATTTTGTAAATTGTATATGAAAAGTAGGTAAATTACCTAATCAATATAATAAAAATTAATCTATTGTCAAATTTATTTAGTATGTATTTAAATTAACATACTTTGAGATTGCAAAATTTATTGGCAGGTTTTTAAAACTTGATTATTTCTTTAAAAAAATTGTACTAGTTATACAAATAAGTACACAAGTAATTAAATATGTTTCAAAATAGGTCAGTCAAGTAATGCTTGTTTTGGTTAAAGTTAATAAAATGATGTTACTACCTCATTACCTCAACAAGTGGCTATGTCTAAGTGATTAGGTGCTCGTTTATTTTATATTTTGATCAAATTAATTTTAAAATATTAAATATGATTTTGGAATGTGTGTTTTGATACCTGAATTTTCATGACTTATACTTCTTTCTTATATTGTGAGTAATTTTTGTCTAAAAGAAATTAAAATTATTTTTATTCATTTCTTACAAATTTTTTTATAATTAGGAGAAATATAATAAAAAAGAGAGAAATATACGATAAAAATATATAATATAATTAAAAATAGAGAAAATAAATTATAAAATGATATTATCAAAATAGAATAATTCTAAAAAATAGCAAATAGTAAGAGAGTGATTTAAAAGTGATTCCTTCCACACTTGAATATATTAATTATATATAGACATCAATTACATCTGTATACTTTTTATCATTTAATATTCTTATGTAAGGTGTTAAAGAAGAGTAACGTATAATAAGCGTTTTCCAGTTACTCAACCAATATTTCCGGCCGTTTATTTATTGTTTTGTGAGGGTTTTTTCTTTTTTTCGGGTACATAAATAATAAAGTGGCTCAAGTGATAAAGTAGAAATTGTAATTGAGGCTTTCTACAATGATAATGATTGAGTCTATGTTTTTTTTAAGAGTAATTGTGAGGGGGCATCTACAGTACCACTAACTAGGATAGAAGGATTAGTCCTATATTTAAATAATATTATAAGATCTATAAAAACCAAAAAGAAAAAAAAATTCCTCTTCAACGTATAGGATGTAAAACAATGTTTATAGTATTTATCGTATCACGTTAGTATATCAATTGCTATTATATCCTAATATTTAAGATTTAGTTTCTTTTAAAGTTAATTTTTAAGATAACATCAAAGTAGAGCTCATAAAATTTGGCTTGTCCCATTTTTTCTTTTTTGCATGAAAGTCTGATAAAATGTAAGGTTTAAGTTTTAAATTTTGAATTCACGTTAAATTTAAATATTTTTTGAAATCTAAATTAATCAAAATTAATGTGAATTAAGCACATAAAATTGACAAAAGTTTCATAAAAAAATCAAACTCTATCAAGTTTGGATATCATTACGTGAATCTAAATTGAATTCAAACTATTTTTAGCTCCACCTATTAAAAAGGTCATTGCCCATAATAGTTGACAAAATGAACTTGATAACTCATTTTGCAAGCTCCACATTGTCTTAATGACTAATTATATATATTTTTTAAAATATATAAAAAATTTAATTAAAGTAAGTCATTTTATTTTATAAATAAGATAAATAAAGACATATATATATATATAACTAATGATCAAATGTTTTTATCTTATCAATATTGTGGTTATGTTAGAATAATGTCAAGTAGTAGCTATTATAATAGAAGGTACTAAGCCACAACAAAAGTGAAGAGTATTAGATGATATTAATGACAATAATAATGAAGAATAACATGCACCAATGATAGTACAAGGTGCTTTGGTTATAACAACAATAAAAGTCATTAGGTGATAGTGGTGAATGGTGTTAAGTGAGAGTGGCAGTAAAAAATATAAGATAATAATGTCAGCTATAGGAATAATAAAGGATATTAGATGATAGTATGGATGACGTTAGGTAATTGTGGTAGTAAAGGATACTCCTATTAGATAATAACAATGAAGGGTGTCAACTATCATTGCAATGGTAGTAACAATAATATATGAAATGATGTTAGATAATAATAACTATAATAAAATGTTGAATAATATTATCAGAGATGATAAATTGTTTTTTGAATTATGATGACAACAGTGGTAGAAGTTAACTAATGATAATGATAAATAGTTTAAGCAAAGATGAGATAGAAACAAAATATTTTCTTTCTCTTTTTTAACCCATTACCTTCTTATAATGAGATTTATATTAAAACGATATAATAAACTTATTCTATTAAGTTATTCTTACTTTATTTACCAAACTAGGCATTATTATTATTATAAATAATATTTTTAAAAGAATATCTAAAAAAAATGCTTGTGGTTAGGAAGACAAAGTAATAGTGTAAATAGCTGATGGAGCATATGATATTGATTATCCAACTTTTCTGCGCTGCCGTTTCCGGAATGCGGGTGGTTGTTCCAAAGTCTACACCCCACGAGAAGTGTGATGGTGACATTGGGAATGGTTTGCTTTGAAAGCAATGCTCTTCACAAGGACAATTTACTTTTGCTTTTCGGCCAAATCCAGCACTTGATTTTTTCTCATATTACAACACCCTTTTAAGGTTATATTTATAATTTGCTGCTACCTGGTACCTGCCAAATGGTAAAAAGTTCAAACTAAAATTTACCCGTTTTCCGTAGAAAACAGTATTAGCCTTTGTTTCTCATCCCACAAAGCTATACCAAATCATTATGCAGTTCAGATGTCTTCACTTTGGTTAAGAGTCTGAATTGAATCTGATTCCTCATGTTCATGGCCGTGTGTTCACGCATCCTTCTGCGTTCTTTTTTGGTCGAGACGCATCCTTTTAATTAATAAATATAATTTATTAAAAATATTATAATTTATATTTTAAGTTTTATAAGATAGAATTTTTTTAAAAGAGATAAAGTCATGATAGGTAGTACTTAATCAATTTTTTTTGAATTCATGAAATCTACTTTGTAGTTAAAATTAAAATAATATAATTAAAATTAAAATTATTTGATCATTTTATAATTTTTTAACTTAAAGTTAGTTTCAATTGTATTTGACACTTTTTTTTTTGTTTTAAGTTAAAGAGAAATCTTATAAAATGAGTAAACACTACTATAATAAGATAAATGTTTTTTAAAATTTAATTATCCTTAATAAAATAATATTATTTATTAAATTATTACAATATTTTAAAAAAATCATAATAAAAAAAATTGGGACTTACAGCAAGGACAGTACCGGCTTTAGGCTTGTAAGACAAAACAAAACGAAGAGTTTGAATTTCGAGTGGGCATTGGGTGCCCGACTAGTTTGGTAGAATTTTTTTATTTTAAAAAAAGGAGACAATACTCAGTTCAAGGCATGAAAAGCCTCCAAGTTCAAAGAACATATTGTCGTATTTCACTCGGCTAATGCCTTGAGTTTATAACAATAATATTTGGTTTTATATAGTTGTTTTTTTTTCAGTTTTTTTTAAATAAAAAATCATCTAAGTTAGAATATTAACTATAAGAAACAAATACAACAGAAGTATAGAAAAAATTGCTCCGATAAATTCATAATCCAAGTATACAATGTTGAGTGTTAGCAAGGATTCATTTTACTACTTTTTAAAAGAATTATAAATTAGATAATGATGAGATGATTATTTCATTAACTTAACGATATTTGATACGAAGTTTCTTAGTATATATATATATATATATATATATATATATATATATATATATATATATTTGTTAAGAACACATATGTCCTTTGTTCTGCAATTAAAGTCTGTAATTCTATCTTTGTCTATTTTTACGTTCCGTTATGATATTTTTGATGAAATTACAAGCTCTTTGTCTATTTTTACGTTCCGTTATGATATTTTTGATGAAATTACAAGCTCTTTTTTATTTGAAATGAGAATACCTGCAATGATACTCCCATGGTCAAGTAAGTATTTGGTATAAAATAATAAATGTTATTTAATATTCTGTAATTAACTTTTTTATTTGTCTTTTTTGTTTTTCTTTTATAGTCACTATATTGAGTTAATAGACTTGGTGAGTCAGTTTTGTATTAATTTTTTGATATTTTAGATAATTAATCTTTTTTTATTAGTTAATCATAATGTTAGTTTATTCTAAGATGACTGAAGGGGTGTTGGTACCCTAAGACAAGACCAACGGGGTTATTTGGCACTTTTCGTTCAACAGTAAAGCCGAAGAGATTGTTAGCACTTTTTGTCCAAAGATAAGGTTAAAGGGGTAGTTGATACCCTTTGTCACATGACAAAGCCGAATGAGTGAGTAATATCTTTTGTTTTAAGATAAAACTAAAAAAATACTCAGTTCTACTTGGTTACGAAGTGACTGAATAGGGTCTTATCTGATATAGTATCATTCGTCCTAAAATAAGACTAAAAAGATATTTGATTTCTTTTGTTTTTAGAGTGACCGAATAGGATGTTATATAATATAATATAATATATAATAAAAAATATAACTAATGAATTTTAACATATAATAAGAAGAAAAATAGGAATGACATTCCTTTTTTTTTTTTAAAAGCAATTAGGAACGACGTTGGAATTCATAAGCTTAGCTCGTGACGTGGGAAAGCATACATATGTAAATAAACTGAAATCATTTCCTTCTACACGAAAGCGAAATGACCCTTTTTGACACTAAAAAAAGACAAGCCAAATCTTGGCCTTCAATGAGGCATATTGGTACCCCAGATGCAGCCAATAAGGGAACCTCGCGTGGAAATATGGCCCATAGACTCATGGGGTTAAGGGGCACTATCAAAATGGGGTCGCCATCAATACATGGCCACACAACCAAACATCGATTCATTTTTATTTTGTAAGGCGTGGAAGGTCAATTTCTTCCTTCATTACATTTTGTTTTTCTTATACTTTGAACCCAAAATGTGTCTTTTCCCAAGACATTTTTATTTCCCAGCTGCTGCTTTTGATCGATTAAGACTATGAATCAGGTTATCTTTGTAAAGAAAATGACCTTCTTATTGATGGAACTCACATTATTTTTCCTCCTTTTTAAAGAGGCTTTGTTGTTAGCAGCCCCCCCCCCCCCCCCCCCCACCCAACAACAACAACAACAAAAAAAGATTCGGAAAAGACAACAGTTATTATTTGTTTTTACGTGACTAAACTGTTTCTCTTAGCTAATAAAGTGAAATGAGATACAGGAGAAATTAAATTATGTTTGAATTTTATAGTATTAATGTAATTTTATATAAACTTCAAAATAAATTAATGATAAAGGAAAGTGAACAAATCTTTCTTTCGTCTAAGGGAAAGTTCAATAGTTCATAGTAACTTAAAATGACGAGGTATAGAGAGGGAATAATGGAATGGGAAAAGGGTAGCTCCCATCGTGGAAGATTAAATTTGTGTATTCACAATACATGTCTTATAATTTAATTTATTTATGTTAAATATGTGATGTTGAATTTTTATTCCTAATTCAAGAGGACACTCTAACACTCCACACGCAGCAGGTTCGAGGCAAAAAGATTTCTCTTGTGGCATAAAAGAGGTTCTACCCAACACTGATTTTTTTAACATTGAAAAAGCTTGGTACACTGCTATACATGGGTCCGGTGTTTTGTCCTTCTCTTGCAAAATGAGACCACACTCTTCCTCCTTCTACCTCTCCTAACCAAAACAATTGCTCCATAACATCTTTAATGGAGCCTATCAACGTTCCACCCCTCCTAAATCAAGCACACGGTCAACAGTGGTCGTCACACTCTAGTTGGTTTCACAGTGACAAGAGGTGGAAGAAATTTGGTGGTCACGAGACCTAGAGCCCCTGTATTTCTTGTTTTGCCACGACCCAAGACAATAATGCATTGTGTGACACACATGCCATTTAAAACCCACGGTACCGACGATATGTGATAATCTGCTTGTCATATCATCACTTAACATAATCATTGTAAGCCAAGGAGACTAAAATGATCAATTTTAAATTGAAAAATGACCAGAATTTGAATTTCATATATTTATTAAAACTAAAAATATTCAAGTCAATTATAGAGCATGAACAAAAGGAGAGAATGTGAAAATGTACACAATTTCTGAAAAAACTAAGTGGTTGAATTTAACCCCCAAGCTTTATCCTGCCATTTCATTCGGTGGGAACACTTTCTGAATAAAATCCAGGAAGCGACGTGAGTAGAATGTAGGGTCCACCGCCGAGATAGATAATGAATCAAACTGGATAGATTTATATGCATGTTCAATCTTCTTAGTCATGTTGTACTCTTGCAATATGTCAATTATACCCAAGTAAAGTACGACATCGTAAGCCTCATGGAACATTTGCACTTCCTCTTTTCCTGGAATCTGCTCTGCCCTAGCTGGCATGTTCACGCCTAGCTGGATTTGTAGTCTGCGTAACAAGTTGCAAAGCAGGAAAAACCCTCAGCCTAAAATATTCTAGCAATTATCCAATGATAGTTAAGTGAAATGCCTAGACTGTTACGGTAATAGAAACGGATAAGATCTAAGCTCTTCCACGGCAAATAGACAAATAAAAGTCTATCAATGTGCAATGAATATGACAGGTTTAGGATCCATGAAAATTCGAGCACCGAGAGATTGTTAAAAATATTAAGAATTCCAATTATTTAAAATTGTGGCAGAGTACGTCATATATTTTCTCCAGCTTGAAATTTATCAATTAGCTTCTTTTACTTTTCAAAATCACTTTTGACACGTGATTAAGAGAGATTAACGAGAATTAATTTTCATATGGGAGCACACATGCAACCTTTGGCAATGACTAGGTGATCTCTCAATCACACCACACAGCCTTAAAAATGAGGGTGCCATAACATAACAAATTTATTAAAAATGATTATGAATTTGAAGTGCAAGGATCAAACATTAAAATAGGATAGTCAGACTGTAATGATGTTAAAATGTAAATAACACTATAACAACTTATTGAAATTCACGAAGAAACTATACCTGGCTGTACCAGGTAGAAGTAGATCCACCTCCTCATCACCAGCAGCTGAAGCTCGCAATCTGCTACCCCTTATATGTGACCCTACAACAACACTATTATCATCTGCACCACGAGGGACCAGAACAAGGCCTTGCGGATAGTTGGATACTTCATCCTCGAGAGGGTCTGTCAGTTTGTCATTATTGACGTTTTGAAATTATTCAGTACCATGATTATAATTGTAGTAGAAAAAGCAAGAATATAAGTCATAGATGCAACTTGAAAGCATAATGAGTCAAACAGATAAGCAGATAAAGGTTTCAAAAATGGTGTGGCACCTAACCATTATCGTAATCTAGTAAAACTTCAATTGGATGTCAACAAAATTAAGCACCCAATTCAAGGTTTCAATTTCCAATCTCAGTCAGGAAAACAAGCCCCCCAAAAAACTGCTTCTAATTGTAGCCCCTAACATACTATCTTATATTACTTACATTACTAAACAATCAGGACAAAATTGTCAATAAAAAAAGTTCAGATGGTCATTAGCCAAACATAACCCTCACCCTTTTCATCATCTACAGTACCTAATAACACCAAAACAAGAACTCTTTACGTCGTCTTTGCCAGTCATGTCAGTGATGTTTAGAATAATTGTAAATAAATAGGAAATATTTATTTATTACTTAGATAATGTTATTTATGGTAAATATGAAACAAAATATTTTGTAATTATTACCTAATCATTGTAAATGAAGTCCTCCTCAAAGTATCAACAGACAAATTTCACCCAATGTTTCTCAATTTCTTCTTTCTCAACATGGTATCTAGACTCTAGAAACTAACGAGAGACAAACCTTAATCTGTATTTTATTTGATTGACCCATTGCCCACTGGTGAAAATTTTATTGTTCAAAAACTGTGGTTCAAACTCCCCTCCCTTCTTTCCTCTTTTTCTTCCTTTATTCTCTACCCGTCCTGCTACTGGTCCCACAACTGTTCTGGCATCATTGCTTCTGTCCAGCCTCCAATGTCACCAGAGACCACATCATCAGCTTTGTCTCCCTCTGATCGGCATAACCCCAGCAGCCCAGTTAACATTGGAGTTGCTATGCACCCTCATGCACTGCACTGTTTAAGCGCAGTTCTCTCACGTGGCAATGCTTTTGGCCGAGCATGGTAGCACATCTAGTGGTTGTTTTAGTTGGCATTTGGTTCATCACACTCGTCTCTCTCTTATCCTTCTAAATCTGCTCTCCTTTCTTCGTTTTGGTTCTTTCTACCCCTAGGATTGGAGTGTTTGCCACTTTTTGACATTGTTCCTACACATATTTTTTTCATCCTCACTGCCTATGGTGTCTTCTGATCCTTCCAAGGTTTAGCCCTCTATCTTCAGCAATCACATCATTCCTCTACTCTTTGCAAAGATGTCGGATGGTATGAGTTATACTACTTAAACTTCTAACATTCTTCTTTGGCTTGTAGGGCAAGATATGAGGAACACCTTACTAAAAAAGTAGATGATATATCAATGGCTAACTTCCCTTGATGGAAAAAGATTGATGATCAACTTTGTTGCATCATTAAATCCACACTTCATCCATTGTTGCATCTCATTTTTTAAGCTCACAAGACTAGTGAAACTATTTGGACACAAACGAATACCCTGTACACCAATAATACTCAACGTCCCTGTAGGGTTTATCATGACCTCATGATTATTATTGATACTCGTGTTGATAATTCTATGGCTTAGGTAAGGTGTCCGGTCTCCACTGTGACTTTAATGAGCTACTTCTTCTGACTTCTACACTGGCTTTAGAACTTGAGCAACACCAGCAATTTTTTATGACAGTTACTATATATGGTTTGCATGTGGACTATCTCCATATTCATGATTAAATTTTGGATTCTATCACAGTTTCCTCCATGTATGGTACTTGGTCTACTATTTTCCATGTTCCATCTAAAACACATCTTAAGATTGTTACACCTCCTATCCCCGTTGACTCATCTACCTTAGTCTTTTAAAGGAGTGATTGTACTCAGTTCCATAAATCGGAAAAATCTCGCCTTAATTATATATGTAACAAGCATATTATCTATATGCTTTGAGTATTGAAAATAACTATAAATAAATAAGGAATATTTATTTATTACTTACATAACATTATTTATGGTCTATGTAACAAAATATTTTGTAATTACTACCTATTTATTATAAATGAAATCTTAAACTGTGTCAACCGCACGGATTTCACTCAACGGTTCTCAATTTCTTCTCTCTCAACACATGATTAGAGGCATAGTAGTATCTCTCCATACCAGGTCATTAGTTTCATTCTTCTAATGCATGAAAACGTTTAATTAAAGACACCTCAACATAAAAAATTTTAAATTCTTGCCAGAAATAAACATCAATTATATAAAAGCAAATCCCAGATCAATAGCTTTCTAGACTGGATCTAATACCCACCTTCCTCAGCAAGCATTGCCAATCCATCTGCACTTATACTTTGGTTGTATGATGTGAGAGGACGCAACTGCCGGGGAGCTCGATAATGAACACCTAGGAGGAGGCTGTAATCCATTATGTGCTGTAATTCCAAGAATTTGCTGTCAATCTCTATCTGCCTGCACAAAGGTTATGACTAGGACTGTAAAGGTAATATTCACTTTTTAAAGCCAAGCATTTGTAGGACTATACAAAATAAAAATTTGTGAAGAACTGACCAGCCAAAATTTTGGAATTCAAACAAACACAAGCAGTTACTATTTTTATTAAAAAATACATCCAGGGGGGATGCAAAAAACATTTTCTCCTTAAAAAATTGTACATACTCAATGTATTCAGTATTAAAATATCTGATAAGGGTTCCATTGCATTACAAGAGACAAATGTTTTATAAAATCATAATGTAAAATTAAAAATATACATTTGTTTCTATTTGTTTTGTTCTTAGTTACTTCCTCAACAGAAATATAATTTATCTTCCTTTTACTTTATATTCCTAGTATTTTTATTTTTATTTTTGTAACAACATGAACAAAAAGAAAAATGCAAGATTAAAGAAAATATTTTGTTAATATCACTTACTTTAATAAAGACTCCCGCCAAGATGGTTCCAAGTAAAAGCAGTAATTCAGATCCAAATCTTTAAGAGTGGTATTCTCATCAATTTCTATCTTGTCTGAAGAGCGTCCAAGAGATGAACCTTTTAAATCGTATCTCTTATGGATCCTTAATTCTGTGCAGAACATATTTCCCATTACAACAAAACGGAACTGCAAGATAGAAATGTATATACAAATATTAGCATCCTAATTAAATAAAATGTCGATTATTAAGTCATTTCATGGAAGAAGTTAAGTCATGAACTCGTGATAGGTTCATAGATGATGTAGTACATTTGCTCTATGAAAAATTCCATTCTTTACATATTCCAGATTTTCTAGTGGTTAAGGTGCAGGTCTAGGCAATATTAATTGATTAATACTCCAGAAAATGATGCAGGTGCAGAAAAATGCACCTTACCTTTTGACCACTTGAAGGTATAATCCTGTGCAGACCAAAAAATTTTGTGATGAGTGTATTATCATATGACTTCACATGATGATGATAGTCTGGAAGCATTCTTAGAAGAACCTACATTTCAAATTTGGTCACTACAATTTGTTATTTATACTTAAAAAAAAAGTAGACAAGAATGAGTGAACACTAAGATATATTTATTTATGCATATGCTCCTCAACCTCAGAATGTATGGTTTCAAACTGTATCATGTATTTGAACTTCAAAAGAGAAACCGGTGGAAAACACTCCAAGGCTGCCATTTTATGTATTTATATCTGCACCTGCAACAAATGCCAATGAACAAGATCCAAATAAAATAAAAATACCTTTACTTCAGATCTCCGTAGTGTCTTAATCATGAATCGATCATCCTGAGACAGGAAAAAGACGCTACCACTTTTCCCAGGAGAAGATAGTTCCCTCAGTGCATCATTTCCACAAATGGACATCATATAGTCAGCAGCATCAATCTTGAACAACTCTCTCAAATTTCTGCAACAGGTCACAAGTTATATATAACAATCACAGGTAAAGTGAAAGGAAACGAGAAAAACTGGAGCTGCAAAGTGGTTTCTTACCATGAAATGAACTCAATTGCAAAAAATTAAAGGTTAAACTTCATTTTGACATGACAAGTGATTTTCTATTTTATTCCCTTTCCTTTATTTTCATATTCATCAAGAAAAAGAAAGCATGATTGCAATCCTATACAAGTCAACATACAATACAACAACTGTGACAAGCTTACAGATCAACATAATACTTTTGACTAGAGGTATTTGTGTAGTTGAAGCAACTAGTATGGATTCAACATGTAATTCATGGTTTAGTAATTTAGTCAACAATTACACTACTGCAAATCAATACTGAATAATTATTTCACAATTATATTCATGTCTAATTATCAACTAGCATTGTAATTTGAAATGGATACTCAACATCAGAAGCATAAAATCAATTGTGTACACAGTTTCCCCCCTTTTTTTCTAATAATAGAAAGTTATGGAGAATTATTAAAAATTAGTTATTTTAAGAGGAAAATGAAAAATTGGATGAAGGAACCAGTCAAATAGGTAAACGCTGTCACCACTCACCAATGCATAGAGTGATAAGAAGTGAATATGGAATCGGGTGATCAGGATATGAATATTATAAACACTTTTATTCAGAAATATAACATGCCAATAACAAAGTAGTTATGGACCAAGAGCTGCATACAGAAACAAGGATTGGTTTATATGCATGCCAAGAGACTAGATGAATGATACAACAGCCCCATGAAAGCAATGAGCCTAAACAAGTGTCAACCACTTACCTGAACACCATCGGGCAGTAATCTTTCCATTTAAAATCCTCTGACTGATGAGGAGGTGTCAATTGAGAACCTTCTTTAGGAAAATTCATCCAAAAGCTTGCTCTGGGACCAAAATCTGATGCTCTAACTTCTCGTCTTTGTATTGGGGTAATCTTTCCCACAGTATACCTAGCCATGTTGAAGCCCATTTCACATTACTTACAGAAAAACCATGCAAGAGCAAATGTGGATATTCCAGAATAACAATTTTTCTTCTAAAGTAGGTAGGCTAGGTGATTTTATTGTTAATGGTTGCCTCATAACATTAATAAGGTTAAAAACTCATTAAAATCCATCTAAGTTCTCCTGAAAAATTGTGAAATAAGCTGAGAAGCAAATATTTCTTTACTGAGGGTGAAACATTTTCCAATTGTCAAGTTATGCCCAATATCAAATGGGTTTTTTTTTTTGTGTGGGGGAAATTGCAAGAAAGAATTATTAATATAAACAAGCAGAAAAACAATTTATCACTCAACTAGTAATGGTTACAGATGTACAAGGAGTGCTTGCTTTTGATGATTAACCTCTTGGGTGTTTAATTGTTTCTAAACTGAAAATATTTATCAAAATGCCTTATTTGCAATTTTCCCTGTTTTCAATCATCACATTTCTTTGAGTTAAAACAAGCAAAAGATAAGGAATCTCCACATTTCTTCCTTCTTGAAGCACTGAGTGATAGTTTAGTCATTTCTAAGGAAATTACAGTTCAAAGGATAACAATCTGAAAGTTGAAAATTTAAAACCTCAATCTTTTTGGGGGCCATATACATCGGATCTCTATTCTTTACTGTTGGTGATAGGGAAGAATAAAAGATATTCCCACAAACATAAAAGGAAGATGGCCATGAATATGATTAATGAATTTGAATACCACCCAACCATTGGAAAATTCTTATTAAAAAATTCAAAATTCTAATCATGACTTTATGTCCTCATTCCATAATGGGTTCATCTTGGAATTTTTGTTACATAACAATAAATAAATAAAAATATAGATAAAAATTGCAAAAAGAAAAATCACGTAACACTGCTACAAATGGTAACAAATAAAGCAGCTTGAGTGTGCAAATAGTCAGGATAGTGTCTTTTACCTTATTCCAAGCTGCAAACTAAGCATCAGATCATAGCTCCTGTGACCTTTAATGATTGCTTCACCAGGTCTTTTAATCTCTTTGGCAAGTTTCTTTTGAAGCTGTTTAGCCCTTCTAGACATTGATGAAAAACTATTATTTAACACTAACTCACTTATTAACACACCTTGCATATACTCCCGTTCCAAGATGGGGACCTTTGCATTAACCTCTTTATCCCCATTTCCTAGTATTGAATCTGTTGAACCTAATTTTGAATCATGCCCAATCACTTTCTCAATAGATGCCTCAAGACTCCAGCGCCTTTCAAGAGAAATATTCACACCGCGCGACTGTTCCAGATTTAACAGGTTCCCTTTGGCTAGCTTATCAGATGAAACACGACTTGATCGCTGGCTCTCACCAACCTTGACATTTCCCATATCAACTGAAGCAGCATGATGAATATGCACTGGATTCTGTTTTCTCAAATCTGGCAACAGCCCTCTTTTCCTCAATGCATTGAGATATATTTCTTGTGCAGATGAAAGGTAGCTATCTTTTGGATAGAAAGTTCCTTTGCCATCTTTCAGACCACGGGTCCAAGTCCCAACATAGCAGCCACCATCACTCCATGTATATACCCCAAGCCCATGCATCATACCATTTAACCAGCTTCCTTCGAATGAGTCTCCATTCACCCAGGTGAGAGTTCCTTTTCCTGACATTCTCCCACCTTTCATATTTCCCAAATATACATTTCCATTGGCCCAGGTATACTTGCCTGGCCCCTCTGGTGTTCCTTGGATCCAAGAGCCTTCAAAGATATCTCCATTCGGATAAACTTGGTAACCCAACCCATGTTTAAGATTCAATCGCCACCGACCTTTGTAGGTGAGATTATTAGGGACAATATATGTTCCTGTACCATGAATATAGCCACCTGAGAACTCACCCTCGTACGCTACTCCAGAAGGCCATTGTATTTTCCCAATTCCATTTCTCATCCCCCGTCTCCACTCTCCCTCATATACACTACCATTTGACCATACATACTTACCCTGACCCTCTGGAATGTTTCCAAGAAGGGACCCAGAATATGATTCTCCATTAGGAAGTAAAAGTTCCCCTACTCTAAAGCCAGCAACTTCAGAGGAATGACCAGCTTCACCGTTTGTCGAGATAGATATATGGTCTATTTCAGAAATGGCATCAAGAGATTTTGTTCTCTCTGCACAAGAAAGTGCTCCATCCAAATTACCAACTGTGGCCACAGGGCCAGACATGCATAATGATCAAAAGAGGAATATTTCCTTATATAATTATAACTATCCCGAATTCTCAACAGCTACAAGACAAGAAGGGTTGCATATAGGAAATCTTACCAAGAATTTGACCCTTGAAACTCTTTGTCCTTTTGACCAGAGAAGAGAAGTCAGGAAAATAAAACAAATTAGATGTCTATCATTACATAAGCCTGAAGAGATATACGTTCATGTCATGTAAAAAGAGAAGCAAACAAAATTTGTCAAGAACCTAAGAGAACTCATAAGAGTATAGAAGGAAACAAATTTAATTCTAAAGAGCAGATGCAAACACACTACTTCCTTAAAAAAAAACAAAAACTAGTAGACCACAACAGACGATTGTAGTATAAATTTGGGAAACATTAAGCAATTAAACAGACGCCACAACTACAAGCAATTGAAACTTTAAAAGAACTTATCAATGAGGTTAAAAATTAAAAGAACCAAACAAAATGAAAAGTAAAATAAGCATACACAAAATGGAAGGACAAATGCTTGTCTTGAAAACAACGACCAAAAAAACAAAAACAAAAAAAGCAAAAACTAGAGTCTGTTCTTCAGAATTGAAACAAACGAATCTGCAAAAATTATTGCACAGCCAAGCAATAAGTGCTATTCCAATTTCCCAAGAGATTCTATCTTATAACACCAAAATTGCTAAACTCATAGTTCAACCATACAGTTTCAGAAAAATCTCAAACACCTTCAATTTCAATTTCTAAACATATAAACACTCAAATAACTAACTTAAACAAAACAATCGATAAATTGTGGTTGGAGTCAGACACGATTGTACGATTGGTTCCGTAACTTTGATTCCGTGAGGAACAAAACCTTCTAAACAATAAGAATACATTTAATTCTCTCCTGAGATCCATATAGCAAACTGAACACGGAAAAAAATCACAGAAAAAAAAAGCAGGAGATAATAAATTCTCACTTGTCACACACGAATGAGGATAAGCGATTGCACATTATGTACAAATACAGCAAAAATCCATAACCACAATTTAATAGAAAGACGGATGAAGAGAAACAGAAAGCAAGAGAGAGGGAAGAAGAGTACCTTGAAAGCGAAAGAAGCAAGTCAAGTGTGAGGTGGTGAAGGCAAGGAAAATTATAGAGGTAGTAGAGGCTTGTTTGGTCCTACATCATCGTAACGCTCAACTCTTTTAGCTTATTTTCCTCAACCGGATTTGGAAGAACTAACACTGCTGATCCGATCTCTAACCCAAACACGTTATAAACCCGTTATTTAACTCCCGTTTGTCTTTTCTCTATCCCAAGCAAGTGGAATCGCCTTTATTATAAATTCAAGCAACATTTTTCTATGATTAAATGTGCCTAGATATTACAAATATTACCAAAATTCACAATGATATGATATCATATAAGAATGCGATATAGCGCGGCCGTTGAAAAGACAAAATTGTCCGCGTAACGTTGGACTGTAGTTAGTGGATATTAATCTCATGTTTATGTGCGATTATTCCCAACCATGCCATGTTCAGACAAACAGCGTCACAACTATTCAAAGACTCAAAATTTGGATTCCAACTTCGAATTGGTCTCTACCTTCCCCTGATACCGTGCTATATATGTGTATAAATTTTCCATCATATATAAATGAATATGGATGGAAATATTATAATAAGGGTACATAATTTTTGTCCATTAGTATATATAGTATATAGTATATAAGCTGGTGTACGCTTAGTTTCTAGATCAAGCATTGGAAAATCTGTGAGGATTTTATTCTCGTCGAGTGCATCAGAATAGGACGCACCGTTTTGGGATTGGTTCGGAGCTGGTTGCGTTTGATGGAGACGGGGTTTGGGCGTGAAATGTGGCCACTCTGTGCAAAGCACGGTTTGAAAAAAGTTGTCTGATTGTTACTTTTTTGTCCGCGATATTCTTCATCGTTGAAGACATGAAAATTGACCCCCGAATGAGAGGGAGAAGCTTTGCAATCTATCGTGTAAACATCCTTTGCAATAGTTCCTCTTTTTTTACTTACCGTGGGTCCATTTCGCCTTTATTTCTTCCCTTTAATGTGTACATTTATTTATGCAGAAATTTCAGATCAGATTTTTTTATTAATATTTTTTTATCTATATAAATATTTGAATAATTTAAAGAAAAAAAAAGATATATGGTGAAAGATCAAATACAAAGTTTAATAATTAATTCGAATAAAATTAGTATTTTTTTTAATTTGCATATCTTTTTTGCTAAATTGATAAATAAAAACAAGTAATATTATTTTCCTATTTAAATTATAATATTATGTTGTTCGTCTAAGTTGGTGGAATTAATAACCTTCACACACGATTACATACATCACTTTACTTCAAGTTTAAATGTTATTATAGCATGAACTATGTTGAATTAATTAGTTTAAGATTGGGCTTATTAAGATAATGTCATCCCCACATTGTAAGTATGATCAAAGAGTCACCACTAGTGAAGGTGAGAAGAGAGAATAGCCATTAATAGATTGTGTGAAAACTTACGAACCATTGCCTTGAAGCTTGCTAGGCCATAGATGGATTTGTACAAGTTGTAAGTTATACGTTAGTCTTAGATTGCATGGCAATTGCATATATACCTGTTCGAAGATGTCATTAATAAAAAAAAAACATTGTTATCCAATGTAACATGGTCTAACTTTTGACAGTTGTTACAGAAAGAAGACACAAACAACATTGTACTTTGCAATATGGGAAAAAGTGTTCAAGAAATCAATTTCGGCTTGTTATGCATACCTTTCACTCATAAGTCAATCTTTATACTGTTTGTAAAGAGATTTATAAAGTTTGTATTTGACCTTGTATATTCACCATTCTACTACCTTTTAATTTGCCAGAGGGAAAATGGAACCAAGGCACAAAATTTGTTTTATTGGACTCCAAAGGAAGCGTGTGTATATATATATATATATATATATATATATATATATATATATATATCATGAATGGGGACAAATTGGGGTAGAAGATCTTGCTTCCTTGATGATCTTTGCAAAAAAGGATATGGATAAGGGATAGATGTTTGTAAGTATAATAAGAGTATTTCACATTTCATTTAAGGGTGTGAAATGGATGAGGTCTTGAAAGAGGTAGGGAAAAAAAAGAGAAAAAATGATTATAAAAAAAAAGAAAAAACAAGAAATAAATGTAAGAGAAAATATGTGTTATTATTACAAAATTTCAAGAATGATAGGGTCTAAATGTGAAGATTTAGGGAGGTGGTGGGTAAGGAATTTAAGAAGAAAGTATCCTCATTGAACACATTGGCGGATGATAATTTTTTTCAAGCAAGTTGAATAGTTAAATTTTATTAAATTTATATTCTATTCAAAATTATTAAATGAAGTAAATATTTAAGACTTACTCTTGAAATCAATAAATTTATTCTGTATTATTAAGGGTAAAAATTAATTTTATTTCATAATTTTATAAATATTAAATTTTATTAATTTAATCATTGGATTAAATATTTTTACAAAAAATGTTGGACTATCAAAATAATTTAAAATCATTACTAGCACATCAATAGATTGTCGTATTAAAAAGTGTTATGATCCGTGAATCAAATTTAAAGTCTTTATTTGACCATCATTTGTTATTAACATTTTAATATATAAATTTGTTATTAATTTATGCAATAAATATGGGTAATATATCTTTCATTGATATAAACTCTATTGCCTTGACTCTCATGCAAGCTAGACATTCTTCAATGATCTCCCTTCAAGATTTTTTATAGAAACTAATGCTTCCTTATGGTGGCGTTCGATTATTCTACATAAGCTTGTGGCACGTCTGGCCATGATGGCTTCGTGGGTTTAGAGACGGCGGAACACTACTGTTTTGGGTGGTATAACATGGACTTCCCATTATGTGATATGGAACATTACTATGGACATATCTGATAACCTAAACATTCAAACACAAGACAAGCCTTGGAAGACACGTGTGATTTGGCAGCCTTGAGATTATCCTTACATTAAGGTTATAGTAGATGGTAGTTGGTTGCCACGAAACAACATCATGAGTACTGGTGGTGTCATCAGAGATAGTACTGGAAACTGGAGGCGTGGTTTTGCAAATTCATTCAGGAAAGGTGACCCTCTAAGGGCTGAATTATTGGCTATGGTAGAAGGTTTTTCACTCGCGTGGAACATGAAAAACTGGTTTGTGATCTGTGAGTCGGATTGCCTTGACGTGGTGACAACAACTTCGTCACCTAACCAGGGTCCTTCGGAGTGGCATGTCCATGCTGATGTCGTGTCTAGATTGCGAGAGTTGATGAGGAGTTGGACACTATATATTTTGTATATTCCTCGAGAGCTAAATAGAGTAGCACACTGCTTAGCTAGTTGTGCGCCTTATACTATTTAGGCCAACCCTCCAAACTTCATCTTGCATGATGTGAGTTGGGACATGGTGACTTTGCCTTAATTTCTGTTTGATTTTATTTTCATTACACTACTAAAAAAACTCCAATTTTAGATTTATTTTATATATAATTTAATCTTTTATATTATGTTTAGCTAGTATAATAGTTTTTTCAGAAAAAAAATCTCTAAAATATTATTATACAGTTCATCAAAATTTTGAACTATTAAAATAGTGCTTCAAACATTTAAATTAACACCGTACCAATCTTTAAAAGATTTTGGCATTAAATTTATCTTTTAATTTTTTTATTAAATTAGTTTCTTAAAAAATTGAAAATATCATCAAATAAGTTCTTATAGAAGTTTAAAGTGCAGAAAAAAAATCTATTGGAACAATTAATTAGACAATTAATAAATTAATACTTTAAAGATAAATTTAATGATAAAATCTTTGTACAACTTTTTTTTTATAGGTAAAACATATATTATTAGAGAAAGTTAAAAGAAAACTCAAAATCCATATACACAAAAAAAATTACTTACTTAGAGAAATAAAAAGTAAAAATATATTTATACAAAATTAAGACAAATGCAATTTTGTGGGTTCAAATATCAATTAGTTAACAAAATAGTTTATCCCTTACTAACAAGTAATAGTCATTTTCAGGACTTCAGAATAATAGAATCTAGGACTTCCCTCTCATCCAAAATACCATTTGAAAACACAATTTTATTTCTATGTAACCACAAAGACCACACCGTACTTACTCAAATAATTAATAAACATATCCATTCTCTTTTACTATAGTCAACACCAACCCAAGAAAGCAAATGAGTTGATAAATCTGAAGGCAAAATTAATGAGAATCCAAGTCAACGCGCAGTAAAGTATCAGATTTGAGATGAAACTGAGCACGTTAAAAATAAATGAGTTGGAAGTTCCTCCAAACCATGACAGAAGCAACAAGTTATATCATCAATTTGAACACCACAATCAATCAACAAACCTTTACAAGGAAGTGCATTCAAGAACAATTGCCAAGAAAATACCAGACACTTAAAAGGGACCTTCCTTCTCCATAGCCTTTGCAAGGCATCTGCCGTACACTGATTTACACTATTAGGACCACCAAAAAGTTCAAACAGCTATGAATACGCAGATTGCACTGAATAACAACCTGAAGAATCTGCCCTCCATACCCATTTATCTTCTTGTAGTAACTTAATAGAAACCTCATCCACAAACTCCAACAAAAGATTAAAACTTGAGATCTCATGTTGAAAGAGTCCTCTTCACCAACTAACATCCCAAACCTACCTAGTACCATCATGAAAACCATTCTCCAATACACATGTTTTAGCATTCCTCGCTACCGCAAATAATCGCGGAAATGCTTCACACAATCGCACCCTGATTACCCACTTATCTCTCCAAAAAAGTGTGTAAACCTGCACCTACACTCCTATCAAACTTCTCACCCAGCCATGAATTCCCTTAATGAATAACCTACAGCAAATCACGCCACTACAAAGAACATATGTTGTGGACTGATGAATACTGAATAAAAGAAGCTAATCTTCCATATCTAGATTCCAACACCCGCACCCACAATGAACTAGAACA